GGAGACATAGATGGCCCTGGGATATCACCAGACGGTGCCCCTCGGGGGGAGGAGTACCAAGCTACCCATAAGGAGAATGAGGCTGGTCTGTCAGCTGACCAAATGCTGAAACAACTTGGGATAAGTCCCCAGGCCAGTGGAGTGGAACCAAAAAGGAAAGGTGAGCACCTTAAAATTGTGGATTTTATCTCGAGTGCTCTGTCTATCAAGGAGGATTACTCAGAGGAAGTGATGGCTATAGCGGGGAGCTCTAGCCTGATTCTCAAGTCCTCTGCTAAACGCCCCATCCTCACCAGTGTCACCATCCCACAATGGAACCAGGCAAGTTTGGCGATATTGTTACATATGCAAGAGCATTCTCCCCAAGTAGATGTGCATTCCTATCTCCAACACCATATAAAGATAATGGAATTTTGTGAAAAGTTTGATTGGATAAGTATTTTAATATATGATGAGGAATACAGGAGGCGCCAGTATATACAAGGCTTCCGATGGGGTAGCGAAATAGCCCACCTCAGCACAACTCACCTGAGGCTAAAACCACCAAATATGAAATCAACTCAAGCAAGGAATAAACAGACTGCAAAACAGCCGGATATACAAATATGCAGGAATTTTAACAAAGGAGAATGCAAGTATGGAACTACTTGCAGGTACCGTCACGTTTGTCTAGAGGCAGGTTGTACTGAGTCTCATTCTGCCTTAACCCATCAAAAAAACTAACAGTCGCTGCAGTAGCACCTATAGCCCCTTCACCTCTAGGAAATTGTTTGGATAAATGGACTTATGAATTAGCTAATGACCCAGATAAGGACTTTCTTCTAAATGGAATTTCAAGTGGTTTTAAAATCATTGACTCAAATAGCAATCCTGTTCAAGTAGAGACTAATAACTATAGATCAGCACTTGATTTTCCGGCTCATTTTAAAGTGGAATCTCAGATTGTTAAGGAACTTCAAGAGCAAAGATATGAAAAAGTATCCCATAAACCAATAATAACTAGTGCACTGGGGGCAATACCAAAAAAGAACTCTGACAAGATTAGGCTGATTCATGATTGTTCTATGCCGCATGGACATGGATTAAATGACTATGCTACAAAAAACAGTTTTAAGTATCAATCTCTATCGGAAGTTACTGCTTTAGTTAAGCATGGATACTTTTTATGTAAGGTGGACCTATCAGAAGCGTATAGATCAGTGCCGATATCTCCCAGTGATTATCTGTATACTGGCCTTAAGTGGAAATTTCGAGGTGACAATTCATATACATATATGATAGACAAGAGACTCATGTTTGGAGCACGGAAAGCTCCAGAAATATTCCACAGACTTACGCAATCTGTTAAGCGTATGATGATCAACAGAGGATTTCAAAACATTGTTGTTTATCTCGACGATTTCTGCCTAGTTTACCCTACATATAAGGAGTGTCAAGAAGCAAGGGACACATTGATTGGATTGATCAGGTCCCTTGGTCTGAGCATAAACTGGTCAAAAGTGGAAGGACCTACACAGGTACTAACTTTCTTAGGCATAAACATTGATACTATAAAAATGCAACTGACATTGCCAGAGGAAAATCTAAATAGCTTGAAAGCATTACTCATCGAATTTTCAAGCAAAAAACGCGCCGCTAGATCCCAGCTTGAATCATTGGCTGGTAAACTTCATTGGGCAACCCAGGTCGTCAAAGGGGGTAGGCATTTCCTCCAACGGATCCTGGATACCATACGATCACTCAAACGCAGCAAACACAAATACATGCTAGGGACTCAATTCTATAAGGACATAGACTGGTGGATTAAGTACATAGACACATTCCATGGAAAATCTTTAATAATGGACAACAATCCAGTTGTGACTGTCGAGCTGGATGCTTGCAATACTGGAGCAGGCTTATACTATGATGGAGATTGGGCATATATAAATTTCCATCGTGATACCCCTTCTCTTAAGGATTACCATATCAATTATAAGGAGATACTCTCTGCATACTTCTCTGTATTGAGATGGGGGCACACATGGTCAAATAAGAAGGTTCAACTTGCAACTGATTCTTCTGTTGCAATGGCAGTGATCAACTATGGGAGGTCTCGACATCCTGTTATTATGGATATACTAAGACATATGTTCTGGATATCAGTGACTTACAACTTTGATCTAAGAGCACACCATGTCAAGGGACTAAATAATGTGATGGCAGATACAATCTCCAGACTTCATGAACCCCATGCCCTCCTATCCTTGGAAGCCTTGTTATACCCTGGCCGCTTCCCTTATTCAGGAATGTCTGTTATGGACTTAATACCACACATGAGTTTTAATTCTCTGTTTTCCATTCTGCCGCAGGTCCGCAACTGGCTGAGCTGGAAGAAGAATTGGATAACACAATCGCTACGCTACGCATGAATTGCTACACCCCCTCTACCAGATCAACATATGCAGCCCAGCTCCAAAAATATCTTGTATTTTGTAACAATATGGGTTACAATCCAGTACCAGTTAATCAATTACACCTGGAACGCTATGTTGCTTCATTAGCTGGGGTCATTACTCCAGCATCAGTGAAACTGTATCTTAATGTTGTCAGGCTACTCCACTTGGAAAGTGGTTATGCAAACCCATTAAATAACAATTATAGGCTGGACACCATCATTTTGGGTCTCACAAAGACCCTAGGCAGGAAACCAATTAGGAAATCTGCTATTACTCCAACTCATTTGCTGGACATTAGGAAGCAACTAAATATGGATGATCCCCTTCATGTGGTTTTCTGGGGTGTCTGTTTAGTTGCTTTCTATGGCCTGTTTAGAAGATCTAATGTGTTACCTTCAGAGTTTGACAAGAGCAAACATTTGTGCAGGAGAGATGTAACATTTTTTCCCTGGGGGGTCTTACTTAATGTGAAATGGTCAAAGACTATTCAGTCTGGAGAGAGAATCTTGCAAGTGCCGCGTACTGAGATCAAAGGCCACCCCCTTTGCCCAGTATCTGCACTACTATCTGCCCTTGCTATTACTTTCCCCTCCAGCCCAGACTACCCCCTCTTTACTTTGCCCAGAGGTAAACCTTTTCCCCCCTCCCTGTTCTCATCTCTCCTGGGCACATGCTTAGCTAAGGCAGGTTATGACCGTACTTGTTTTTCACCTCATTCCTTAAGGAGGGGAGGCGCATCTTGGGCTATACAAAGAGGCCTTCCCCCTAATGTCATCCAGATTCTAGGTGACTGGAAGTCAGACGCATATAAGGTTTATCTTGAATTACCTGTAGCTTCAAAAGTAGAGATGGCAAAATCTTTTTCAACTAACCTACCTTCTACTACTTCTACTTAACATCAAGTTTGGGTTCGGAGGTCATAATATTATATGCTATTATGTAACTACTTTAATGCAATGTACTGTTATGTATTTTCTATTGTATTATTACGTAACATCTATCAATTAACGCATTATAATATTATGTAACTTCTATTGTAGTTTATTGTTTTAGTTTAGTTAGGTACAATAAACTATTTGACCAACTACTTGTAGTTTTTTGCGTCTATTTTTCGTATTTGGCATTATTGGGAATTTAAGTTTAATTTCAGTTGAAATAGATTTAAATTATAGAGGTTGCCATCTGGTTCTGCAGTTCATGCAAAGGTCATGAACTTTTAATTATGTCTAGATCATCTAATCACTTCAGCTACTGCAGCCAAGCACTAAACATGTACTATTTTTAGCTAATGCTCCCTCCCACCCTCCCCTTAATTGAATTAGGGTGTACTGGACTGGGAGGTCATAATATTATATGCTATTATGTAACTACTTTAATGCAATGTACTGTTATGTATTTTCTATTGTATTATTACGTAACATCTATTAATTAACGCATTATAATATTATGTAACTTCTATTGTAGTTTATTGTTTTAGTTTAGTTAGGTACAATAAACTATTTGACCAACTACTTTTTCGTATTTGGCATTATTGGGAATTTAAATTTATAAGATAAATCATGTTAGATACGTTAATCGAAGTACAATCGAAGTGAGTAATATATTGTATACTTTGAACGCTAAGTATTAAACAAAAACTAAATAATTTAAAGCTATATATATGTGTATTTCATACCTACTGAGGTTCTAGGTACATAACGAGCGGGAATATATACTGTATCTAGCCAAGGCCCGGGGCGGGATGGATACACGCTGTATCCATCCCGGTCCCGCTCCTGAAATTTTTTTTCACAATTTTTTCAAATTTTTTTTTCAATTTTTCTTTCAAAAAAATTTTTCCCAAATTTTTTTTCACATTATTTTTCAAATTTTTTTTTTCACATTTTTAAAATTTGAATATGTATTTAATATGTTCAACATACGTTAGTTGTTGTAAAGTTGAACTAGATAACAACAACGCCAAAGCGTAGCAAATCATCGAATAGCCATGCATGGCTGCCATTTTCACAAAATCATTCTACTACTTTTTCAGTTACACTAAAATCGTAAAATAACATACATGAAGATCGCCACCATTTTCAAAATGACCGCTCACTAGCGGACGGACAGAGACGTTCCCTAATTCTGTCCGAACTTCGTTCGATGGGATAAATATTTATACTCTCTTCATATATTGAGGAAATAAAAATATTACAATACAATACAATACAGTACAATACAATGCAATTCAATTCAATACTATAAATTATTGAATCATTTGAAGTGCAATACAGGATATATTGCTCGAGAAATTATGTATTTGCACGATACAAAGTCAATACAATACTATAAGCTATTGTACGGTTTGAAGTGCAACAAAAATTAATTTAGTAGTAGTCTCCATCTGTATAAAGCAGTCTTTTATAACATCATTAAATGTATATTATAATATAACAGTGGTAATCATGGGTAGTCAAAATCATAACTCTGTTTAGATTCTTTGTCTCTCTGATGTACCATGCATCTTGCCGTACCCATGTGGAAAGAACACCAGGAATTCTACAAAGGTGTGGTTGTTGGGATCTAGTAAAGATGAATCAGCAGTGTTACAGCCATCAGTATTACACAAGCCGTGACATCTGTACCACCGTTATTGTTTTGATTAGCCCATTCTACTGGATCAACCAGGGTACTGTCCTCTTCTACAGCCTCCTGCTCAATTACTACAGCTGCACTAGACGCTGCTTGCGCATACTGTAAATATTTTGAAATAAAATTAAAGTTTTTACCTCAGTTACAAATGCTTTTCTGAATGTATCAGTCTTGGTTGAATTATAACTTTGCCACCTCAATTTCTTAAGCATATCTTTTTACAGTAGTTTGACAGGTTTATTAATTTTTATAACTATTTAAACATTTGAATTATTTTCTTATAAACATTATACAGGGTGGGCCAAAAAACAATACCAAACTTCACATCAGGATAAAATATAGTTACGTTCAATATGGTACATTGACTTATATATCATTTTAAAGATTAAATATTTTCAAACAATTTGCTGGTATATTACACTTTGCCATAAAATCAATACTAAAGATATATCATACTTATTTGAGAGCCCAGATTGCTATTTAATGTCTCTAAATTTTAGGGAAAAAAATAAACTGGTAAATCTGTGGAATTATGTAAAAATATTTTTTATAGAATATCGTTTTGTTAGGTTAATACATGCTTGTATATTTGCATAATTGTGTGACTTAACTTAATGTTTATGAATTTCAGTGTTGTTTAATAACAGTTTACACTTTATTTATTTTAACAATTGCTCGATATGTCCTCCCCCTCCTCTGCTTAAACAATAAGCTTCAGGCAGCAGCGCCATCTATCAACAGATTTCTGTTGCAATACATTCCAGTACTTTAGGATTCCGCAGTTAAGCTCATCACTATTTTTTATTGGGTGCTTGTGATAGTACACCATTTTCTCAAGACGGCTCCATGTATGGTAATCCACCACATTAGCATCGGGGCTGTTGGGTGGCCAAGCATCTGGATGAATCAAATTGACACCTTGTTTGTGAAGAAATGCTTATGTCTCCTTTGATCTATATAGCTATGGGACGTGGCAATTTCTTAATGAAAAATAAGATCCTCACCACACGTACGTTTTATGTCTCTTAACAGACCTTCTTTGAGTACTTATTGATAATAAACAACACTGAAACTCATAAACAATAAGTTATTAATCACAAATGATGCAAATGTTCAAGCATGTATTCACCTAACAAAATGATGTTCTATGAATAAATATTTATATAATTCCAAAGATTCACTGCTTTCTGCCTAAAATCTAGAGACATTAAATAGCAGCCCAGCCTCCCAAATAAGTATAATATACCTTTACTATTTACTTTATGTCATAGTCTTATATACCAACTTGTTTGAAAATGTATTACCTTTAAAATGATATGTAAGTCAATGTACGTACCACATTGAACGTAACTGTTTTTATCCTGATTTAAAGTTGGGTATTGTTTTTTGCCCACCCTGTATATATAAGATAAGATAAGTTTATTGTTCTTTATAGTGGTAGGTTACACAAATCAACCCAGCCCACCTGGGCTTATCAACCACTTAACAAGTTTAAACATTTTAAATTATACAATTAGTGAAATAAATATCAATCTGTGTTATACATATGGTTACGTCTTTTGACAAAGCACTCCCTTACAAAATGAGCAAATTGTCTTGTCATTTTCTCAAACGGGTACTTTAACTTTTCTACATTTGTGTCAATACATTTAAAATTGTTATCAATAAAATACCTCTGTCTAATTTCATTATAAAAATGGCAATGAAACACAAAATGTATCTCATCTTCCACACAATTTTGTTCACATAAACTGCATAATCTTTCTTCTAGTTTTTCATTCTTAAAACGACCCGTTTCTATTCTTAATGGTAAAATACCCATACGCAATTGTGCTAAAAGTGACCGTTCATATTTACTTAAATTCAATGTCAAATACTTTTCAGTTTCATAATTATTTTTAAAAGTTGCATAAGTCCTTAACTTATATATAAAAGAGTCTTGGTGATTTTCCACTGACATCACAATCAACATATGTTATCATATTCCAGATTGTGCCAGATTTTTCTTTTTACTGGATATTTCTAATTTTCATCAAATGTGTTGATTAGGTTTTTAAAATAATAAAATAATTAAATAAATAATTAAAATAATACCTCGGGTCCAACAGTATCACAATCAAATTCACAGTTGCTTTGTCTCTCTCCTTCTCCACTACATGCGTCTACGCAACTAGTTTGACGCTTTCTACGCCTGCGTCTCTTTTCTGAATTACCAATGATTTGATCCTCAGGGCACCCAGTGATAAACATACCAGATGATACGTCCAGGAGTGATTTGGAGATTCGTAATACCACCACAGGATAGCTATCACTGAATGAAAAGAATAACAAACATTAGCTATGTTTGCACAACCGAAAAGGCTTAGATATGTTACAGAATAAATCTGCTATTTTATCATTCCTCTTTCTGCAAGCTTTGTGTTTAAAAATGCATGTATTATTATTATTTTATTTTTTATTTCATTACCTGAGTTGAACTCAACATTTTATCCTGACAGTGTTAAAAATTAAAAAACAATGAAAATGCTTTGTATAAAAAAAACCTACCTCATACCCACCTACCCACGTACGTGGGACATGATACAGTCTTTGAAGGGTTCAGTTTTAAAGATCTTAGTTTATTAAATCTTTGTTTATGATGAATTATAGATGCATTTGTAACAACCCTTGATATCAAGTTGCTACTACATCCCAGCTGGGTCCGGTTCCCAATCGGGGCATCGAATTTAGCACACTTTCTTTCAATTTCTATGTCTGGATTGTTGGACCTATGCTCGCGGTCGTTAGTTATTTATTCCCCTGGGGCGCCCTCGGGTCATTACACATAAAATGCATCCATATGCCTTTATTTATGGATCTGTCATCTGTTAAGTCATAAAATAAAGCCGGAATTGTAGAGATGTTAATGATTTGAGCTATTTTGAGATTTAATAATCTTTAGAATTGAACCCATTAATGACTGTATCATGTTCCACGTAGGTGGGTAGGTGGGTATGAGGTAGGTGGTTTTTATACAAAGCCCAATGAAATTGGAATTGTCCAAATAATATCCAAACACTGTTAATAAAACTGTGAATATCTGTTGAGGGATACACATTTTGCAATAATTGCGGGACTGTATGTAAGAAACACCTTTTTGGAGAAATAATGTAACATACTTTCGTTTCACAAATGATGCAAGAAAACCGTGCTGCACACCCTGAATCAGTACATAGTTGACATCGGGAAGTGTTCTTGATTGAGCGTCCACAACATTTATTACCTCATCGCTCCCATCCTCCCCTGCAATCATAAATACAGTTTTTGTGACTTGAAAATACACACTTTCAGACACTCCATTGTATCAACATCTATCGCTATTGCTTTGAGTATGTATTTTTATAACAAAAATGTGTGATAAGGAATAAATTAGATTTATAATCTGAATAGGAGTTCAATAACAATATTGTATTTATAGAGTCAGTTGGGCAAAAGATCTTTGGAGTCTCATCTTAGTCCATCCCATGGACCTCTATAGGATAGAGGTCAATGGCCCTTCTGTAGTAATTACTCAGATGCGAGTAGGCAGTCACCAGTTTCCCCACCAGGTGGCTGATTCGGGGGACATTACATGGCAGGGTATTACAAAATTCCCTTAAACCTGAATATTTATCAGTTTTAGGGGATCACTGTATGTGATAGTTATACAAATTAAAATATGTCCAGTAAAAGAAAATATTATCTGCCCAACACAAGAAAAGATATTTCACTTTTTGTGGTTTTACAACATGGGGTTTATGGGGAATCTCCCCGCTTCCTGGTCATCTCAACCCCAAGACAACTCAACCCAGTAAAATTCAACCCCAAGTCAAGTCAACCCCAGTAAAACTCAACCCCAAGTCAACTCAACCCTGCAAAACTCAACCCCAGTAAAACTCAACCCCTTTATTTCTATATATTGATAAACTTATAAGAAAGTTTATTTCATAAAAATAATTCTGATTACTCAGTTTGTGATTTCCATTCTTAGACCATTGCCTTTTAAGATTATAGTTAATAATGAGTTCATCTCCAAAATGTCAACATGGTACTAATAGGATTAAAATATGGGTCATTTTATTAATTTTGCTAAAGCATTTGTTTTGTTGTATACAAAACGTAATCCCTCTGAGGTTGACACTCGTGATTATTTGGAAAACTGGAACATGACCATTGCTTTCCAGGGGCATAGCCAGCTTTCAGTCAGGAGGGATGCGATCGTCCAAAAAATCAGGTTTCAGTCAGGGGGTGCCGATCGTGGCATAAGCGAGCCAAAAAAGATATGTTATGACACAAAATGATGCAACTTCCTTCAAAATTGGGGGAGGGTGTGTGCGCACTCCTCATGGCTACGCCTATATGCTTTCAGTCTATTAATTACTAAATGTTAATGATTTTGTTAATGCATGTTCATGTAAATAATAATGCATGTTCATATCAATAAAAAGTTATATTACATTGTTAATTATTTTAAATTATCTAAAATTTGATTTCAAAAGATGTCTTCAATTAAATAATAGTGACAACTTGATGAATTATCCTTGAGCTTAACCGTTTTTTGAATACTTTTACAACTTTCTATTCAAAATATCATGCAAAGTGCTAGATTTTCAGAAATGAATGACTTAAATTATTCATCATAAAAAAATTAAATTAGACATTGCACAAATTAATAGGGTTGAGTTTTACTGGGGTTGAGTTTTACAGGGTTGAGTTGACTTGGGGTTGAGTTTGCTCTGGGGTTGAGTTTTTCTGGGGTTGAGTTGACTTGGGGTTGAGTTGTACTGGGTTGAGATGACTTGGGGTTACCTGTCACCAATCTCCCCGACCTAGAAGTCACATTTTCAAAGAAAATTAAATTTTCTAAGTTGACGAACTCTTTTGAAAACCACATTTCTAGATGTAATTTCACACGTAGATTCCAAATATGACATCAGTTTGGACTGAATTGTGAATTTTTAATGACGCAATCAGAATAATTTCTACTCGCATCTAGGATATTGAGGTAATTATTTGTTCAAAGTTCTGTTCATTCTAGTCATGTTATATAACCTTCGAACTCCAATTAAATGATATGCAAGCTCGTTTTCAGATAGTTAAAAGCTCATGCCACCACCAAAGCTGTTACGTGATCTTGGCGTTAAGTAATTGCACATTTTAAAGAGAACCTGAATGCGAGCGTGTTATATTTCGAACCCCTGGAATTATATTACAGTCAGGCTCTCAATTCACTTTTCCAGGGACCTAAATTAAACTATCGTCCATATACTTTTATACACAATCGGCCAAATAAACATTACAAATGGGAGAACTAATCCAGAGAGGACCATAATTCTACACGTGCACTTGCAAGTTTTATTTAAACCTCCCTGCAACTTACCTGCTGCTGTGAGTAAATCTGATCCCGACCCATCAAAGGCTGTTGGTAAGACTCCACCACTGGCACTGTATGAACCCATATAGGCACCCAATGATGATCTGAATGCAATGTGGAACTAAAATGACAAGAATATCTCATTTTCAATTTTTATCGCAAATTTTTGCATTCAGCTCAGTCAAGCTGAAGTGAAATCCACCAGTTTCATAAAATGTGATTGCTGATGCAAATTAACCCTGATGTGTTCAGCGTATTTTTAACATTAATGGACGGGGGGGGGGCATCTGGCGTTTTCAAAGTTGAAGACGTATAGTAAAAAGTAAGGTACCATATTAGAGATCATTGCGACCCCCCCCCCTTACACATTAGAGTTAATTCAGTGTAATGCACCCTTGGTATACGCAGCTAACGAAAATTGACCGGTACGGGTCAAAAGCTGGACCGGTACGGGTTAACGGTTTTATTTGAATTTAAAACAGCCATAACTTGCTCAATATTGACTTCCTCGTGTCTAATTTGAAATATATGATGCCTCCCGATGCTTTTAAGTACCCCAATTTTTTACAGATTTTTAAACGGACCAAAACTCTCTAAATGCGCATTTATGCTCTTTTCTCTCGAGAACGACTGTCTCATTTTCACGATAACTTTTATTTAGTACTTCTAACATATAAGATCTATTTTTCCCCATCAAGGTATGATGTAAATGACATGCTATTTACATCTTGTGAGTTTCAATGACGCGCGTTTGATTTTATAAAAAATGCCAAACTTTGTGACAAAGAATTTCATCAGCTATTGCCCCGAACCGGTCCGTCTTCTCGCTGCAAGGAGATTGCCCCGAACCGGTCCGTCTTCTCGCTGCAAGCAGGATGAAATTCTTTGTCACAAAGTTTGGCATTTTTTATAAAATTAAACGCGCGTCATTGAAACTCACAAGATGTAAATAGCATGTCATTTACATCATACCTTGATGGGGAAAAATAGATCTTATATGTTAGAAGTACTAAATAAAAGTTATCGTGAAAATGAGACAGTCGTTCTCGAGAGAAAAGAGCATAAATGCGCATTTAGAGAGTTTTGGTCCGTTTAAAAATCTGTAAAAAATTGGGGTACTTAAAAGCATTGGGAGGCATCATATATTTCAAATTAGACACGAGGAAGTCAATATTGAGCAAGTTATGGCTATTTTAAATTCAAATAAAACCGTTAACCCGTACCGGTCCAGCTTTTGACCCGTACCGGTCAATTTTCGTTAGCTGCGTATACCAAGGGTGGTAATGAATTAAGAATAAAATTTCGATTTTATGCACTGATTACTTACCCCAGTCATTATGGTAGGCTTTGGATCTCCAGTGCTTCCAGAAACCTCACTAGTTGTCATATTTAGCGTGAACAGTGCATTCTTCAGCCAGACTTGGTTTCCTGGTGCAGAACATGTTATCCAATCAGAGTCCTGGCTTTCATCAGGATCGTAGAACTTGCAATGCGGGTCGCCAAAACACCACAGAGTTCTTCTTTCAATTGAACGTGGTGTCTAAAGGCAAAAACAAACTAGTTTTGTTTATTTTGTTGAAATTGGCATTGTTCTTAGTATTGACTTTGCTACCTTAAAGATTGTTGTTTAGACCATACGTAATGACATAATTAAACAAGAACACAAAAAGTGTACAACATGTCCCCACCAATGGGCAATCCTATATTTTTTTTTCATCCTCAATGCCAAATAAGAATCAGTTGAAGAAAACTTTCGAGAAACAAATTCAAAATGGCCGCCACTTTACCAAAAAACCCAAAAGGCAATCAGTTTGCGATTTTCATACAAAGAATCATTCCTGAAAATTTGAAATCGATCCGTCAAACAGTTGGCCTGGTAATGCGAAGACAATATTTTACAGACAAGATTCTAGGACAGAAAATTCGAAATGGCCACATTTACCAAGAATGTCTAAAAATAATCATTTCTAGATTTTCATATAAAGAATCATCCCTGAAAATTTGAAAATTATCCGTAAACCCATTTGCTTCAAAACATGTAGACAGACAAGACTTTACAGATAAGATTTTAGGACGGAAAATTCAAATTGGCCAATGTAATCATTGATGACTCAAATACTATAGTTGACGGAGTTGGTTCAACTTTTATATGCTGATGCTATAGGCGAGTGGGAGATCCAGCAAAAAAGGCCTTATTTGTTGACCTTAATTAAGATAGCTTGCAACCACATGGATCATACCTGACTTTCATAATATGAATATGTAGATTTCAAAAATGACAATAATAAAAATTGAAAAATGGCCGATCACTATGGAAACGGGACGCAAAGGCCACGCCCACTTTTTAAATTTCTTACTTGGTGGTAAATACATTTTAGACTGTAACTTTCTCGATTTTTAACAAATCTTCACATTATTGGTATCTGCTGAAGCGTAATGATGAGTTCTTTCACCTCAAGTATAAATTATGTTATTTCGCTCATATGTATATCCATTATGACGTCATAACCCTTCTTTCGGCCTCAATTTTCCATATAGTTACAACAAAGTAACAGTGTTTTACTAGTTACACTTCTTAAAAATGGATAAAAGTAGGTAAATGTAGTGCCAATACAAGCAAGAGTATATCGGTTTTTCGGATATACTGATATTGAAGGCTGCATGTTTGAAAGAATATCATTAAATCTCGTTCCATGGTTACCGTGAACTTTTCAGCAATTTAGGCAATAAATACTTTTTGGACTGTAACTTTCTTTGTTTTTAAGCAATCTTAGCATTATTTGTATCAGAAGAAGCGTAATAATAAGTTTTTTCACCTCAATCATAAATTGTGTTAATTGGCTCATTTGCATATCCATTGTGATGTCATAATCCTTCTTTTGGCCTCGATATTTCTTATAGTTACAATAAAATAACAGTGTTTTATTATTAAACTTCTTAAAAATGGATAAAAGTAGGTAAATTTAGTGCCAATACAAGCAGGAGTATATTGGCTTTTCGGATATACTGATATTGAAGGCTGCGTGTTGGTTAGAATAACATAAAAACTCATTGCCATGGTTACCGTGAACAATTTAGCAATTTAGGTAATAAATACTCTTTGGACTGTAACTTTCTTTGTTTTTAAGCAATCTTAGCATTATTGGTATCAGAAGAAGCGTAAAAATAAGTTCTTTCACATCATGTATAAATTATGTTAATGAGCTTATTTGCATATACATTATGACGTCATAACCCTTGTTTTGGCATCAATATTCCATATAATAACAATATGATAAGATTGTTTTAATGGTTTCACGTCTTAATAATGGATAAAAGAAAGTAAATGTATTGCCAATACAAAGAAAAGTATGCTAACCATTCACATGTAGATATACTGATATAATAAAGTCTGCATGTTGGTAAGCATACAATAAACACTCGTTCCCATGAATACCAAGTACTTTTCAACAATTAGGCGATGAATCCTATTTTGACTAACTTTCTTGGTTTTTAACCATCTTAACGTATCAGAGAAGCGTAATAATACGTTTTTTCACCTCAAGCATAAATCATGTTAATGTGGTAATTTGTTTATCCATTATGACGTCATAACCATTGTTTTGGCATCAATATTCTATGTGTGAACAGTATTCACCTTTCCCCAAAGTCAGCTCATGAATATTATAATTAGCAAATCTGAAATCTCTGACGTCAGAGTAGGGCAAATTTTTGCGAGAAAATCTTAACACATAAGAAGTCAATGTGAATCATGACGGAAACGGGTTAATATTATTGTCAAATTATGTTGAGTAGTAATAATATTTAAGATAAACGTCATGGAATTTATTCAATTATATACTAAGGGATAAAGGAGTTTTGTCCAATAATTGATTTTCAATATGGCCTCTGATTTTCAAAATGCCCTGGTGCTCTCATAATATAACATGCACAAGAGTTAAGGAAGTCCCTGACTATGTGTAGAGAAGTGCAACAGAATTGTGGTAGAAATATTTCACAAGTGATATGGATTATAATTTTGATATAGGTTTAAGGTTTCTGTTAAACCTTTCAGAGAAAAAAAAACTTTCAGAGAATACTTACATATGCTATATTTTCCAAGTCCTCTTGCGATTCAAATCCATATTGTACAGGATAAGCCAACGCTAAATATTTCTTCAAGCTCACTCCAAAACTTTTGCACTCAGTTGTGAATGTTGTACTACCAGAGTCTGGTAAGACTACATTTTCTAAACATGAAGCCATCCTCTTGAATGCCCTGAAATAATCTGATTACCATTAGCACTCTTCTGTATACATGTAATAACTAATAATTTAGACTCTAATAATTGGACTTGAGCTTTGAGGCATGTCACCTAGAACTGAGACTAACATAACATTTTATGATGGTCTCAGCCTAGAAGAAGTAAGTAGCTCCCATAATTATTTGTTATTTCTTGGTTTCGGGGGTTCTCCTAAGCTTGCCCACATGATCCTACAAACCTTATATCGATCTCAAGGAGGATTGGCAGCCATTATTCAAACTCGATACTCCGATAAAATATGAGTAATATTGTTAGCAAATTGGTCCACGCCGTGGAGTGGAGTATCCCGTTTGAATAGCGGCTTAACCCTCTTCCTATATCACATGATATTCAAAATGGTGGACAAGTTATTTCTTATTCCTATGGAATGCAATACATGGATCTATCACATGGATACTGCGTGACCTAAAATAGAAGCAATATATAAATTTACACGTACCTACTGTTCTTTGGAATGGAATCACTAGCAGATTGTCCAAGGGCAGCAATCGAGAATATTTCCCCACTACTGTAAATGTCAGGAATACATTCTTCATACTGATTATTTAAAGTTTCAAGATCTTCGAAACATGCTGGCAATTCAACCCCTTTTTGCTGAACAAGTGCAGTCAGGTCACTACCATTGTGGTAGAAAAATGGGTATACATAAGCCATTGCTGAAAATATATAAGCATATAACCATTTAAGGAATTAGAAGGGATAGAGGGTGAACTGTTTTCAATAAAGCGTGCAAAAAGATACATCTGATCAAATCTGAGAAAATCTGATAAACAGTGTGTCTCAAAAAAGAGTTACTGTACACTTACAAAAGGTTCAATATATTTCATGATTTTGACTTTTCCCATAAAATAGACTTAGATACCAAAAGACCAGTCTTTCTCGAATAAATCAACACCATCAGATTCAATTAAAATCCGTCCATGATTGGCTGCACAGGACAGCTTTTATAGACACATGTGAAGTTTGATTTGCACCAACTTCTCCGTGGTTGGACATGTGGTGATCAATTCCTTTTTGGTGCGAATGCTGTGGACAGTGATATCTTGATATGATCAATGATTCAGTTGTTTCTTTCCTGGATAGAAATTCAAGATTTCATTGAGTGTTCAATTTTGTTACGTATGATGGCAATAGGATGATGCAAAGGCCTATGGCAGAATGTTTGGTAGAACTCTTGGAAATCAGAAGATAGCATTGAATTACTCAATGGATTGGCCCCCAGGGTGAAGAACTAAAGCTATTTGATTAAAGCGAATTTGATTACCCTCTCGCACAACTGTTTTTGTGGTGCCATCGCTGTTGCAGGCAAATTCCGCTTTTCCAATTAAGTTATCCAACATTAATTTAGTGGATGCATTCGCTTCATCACAGTTATTTGCTTCAGTCATTACATCACGTACACATGCCACATATGAGGCATATGGAGCCGCAGAGCCATCAGTCGAATCCAAGTATACCGTTCTTCTGTAAAATAGTTGTATGAAATTATGAAATCCCTATTCTATATACAAATAATGTAAATTGGTAAAACAGAAGTGTCACAAAGAAAAGAAAATGACTCACACTTGTTTTGATTCGATATCATTCAGAAAAACTTAACGTTAATGGATTAAGTTATCTTTTGGAGAACTCATTCTACTATAAAGTAGCGGTCAAACTACCAGTGTAGGCTCACCGCTCGCAACCGTGTGGCTAATTATAGCCATGCAGACGGCGGTGTACGGTATGGCCACGCGGTGGCCGTTTCCTCGCCATTAAAACGTTCAGGAAACGTTCAACGTTGTCAACCATCCACACCTTGCCAATATTTTGAGCATGCAAAAAACATTGGTTGGTTGAGTAACGTTCGACTGCGAACATTGATAGCTTGATAGCGGTACGGGGATCCTATGAGGATGAATCCACTCAAACAACTTCGACAGAGATCCTTTTGAAGCAAAAAATATAACGCGACGAAAATAACTAAATTGCAAAACATGATTAAACCTCATACAAAAGTAAAAATTAACGATAAATCAATAATTAAGCTACGGTATAACAAATACGTGAAGCATTCTGGGAATTTTCAAGTGATACGCGTCTGAAGTATTTTCCGAGGTTTTGATTGATGAAATATCATAAAATATATGAAGTTGCACTTACCTACAAAGTATTTCACCAAAGTAATCGACCACTGCATTAATTAGAGCTTCTTTAGCTTCTGATTCGCTCATAGAATCTGTCACAATACTGGAGTAAGTGGGGAGAACATGCTGCAGTGCAAAGCTGCTATTTATAGCACTATTCCATCGATTCAAACTATCTTTGCACCAATAATCAGCAAAACTTAAGGCACTGTACTTCACACACTTTTCATTTTCAGTACCAATTCCTGGGAAAGCCTTTGAATTCGGGTCTATTCCTGTGTCTAAATGTGCCTTGGTGCCCGATATCACTAGTTAAAGAGAAAAATATGAATGCATGATTAAATATGTGAGTAAATTAAGTGAACTACAACAAAAAACAAGACATTGGAAGGCCCTATGATGCATATGGACCTATTATAAAAGTGACACCTGAACCTGTTGTATGTAAGGCCTTTTATTAAACTGGCTTACCAGAACACGTTGCATGCCCTATGCTTCACATAATAAGACTTATTATAAAACGAACGCGTGGCATGCCCGGTGATCATGGTGTGAGGCCTCTTATAAAACTAGTTTACCTGAACCATTGACATGCCCTATGATGTATCCATGGGCTTATTATAAAGCTGACTTGCCAGAACCTATTTCATGCCCTATGGTCCATATATGGGCCTATTATAAAAGTTGCTTACCAGAACCGCTGTATGCCCTATGGTCCATACATGGGCCTATTATAAAACTTGCTTACCAGAACCCGTTGCATGCATTATGGTCCGTATATACTGTTTGAGCCTGTTATAAAAGTTAACCCGTGACATGCCCTATGATGTATCCATGGGCTTATTATAAAGCTGACTTGCCAGAACCTAGTTCATGCCCTATGGTCCATATATGGGCCTATTATAAAAGTTGCTTACCAGAACCGCTGTATGCCCTATGGTCCATATATGGGCCTATTATAAAACTTGCTTACCAGAACCCGTTGCATGCATTATGGTCCGTATATACTGTTTGAGCCTGTTATAAAAGTTAACCCGTGACATGCCCTATGATGTATCCATGGGCTTATTCTAAAGCTGACTTGCCAGAACCTATTTCATGCCCTATGGTCCATATATGGGCCTATTATAAAAGTTGCTTACCAGAACCGCTGTATGCCCTATGGTCCATATATGGGCCTATTATACAACTTGCTTACCAGAACCCGTTGCATGCATTATGGTCCGTATATACTGTTTGAGCCTGTTATAAAAGTTAACCCTTGACATGGCCGATGCTCCACTTGTGTAGCCTATTATAAAACTAACTTAAAAGAACCCGTTTCATGTCCTATGGCCCAGTATATATATAGGTCTATTATAAAAGTGACACCTGAACTCGTGGTAAGTGCTTTGCTCAACATGTGGAGCCTATTATATAACTGACATACTAGATCCTGCTGCATGTCCTATGGTCCATATATGGGCCTATTATAAAAGTGACACCTGTATGCCTTATATAGTCCACATGGGGGTATATTATAAAACTGACTTCCCAGAACAAGTTACATGCCCCATGGTGCACACATGGAGCTTTTATAAAACTAAAAACTGAACCCATTACATGCCCTATGCTCCACAAGTAAGGCTTATTATAAGACTACCTTAGCAGAACCCGTTCCATGCCCTATGGTCCATACATGGGCCTATTATAAAACTGACAACTGAACCCATTACATGCCTTATAAAACGGACTTCCCAGAAACCGTTGCATACCCCATGATACCAACATGTGGTGCCTACTATAAATCGACTTACCTGAGTCAATTGGTAGGGAAAACAATCCATTTAGAATTGAGGCTATGGAACCCCCTGATATTTGTGAGCTATTGGCTCCTGATCCCGTAGTGCTTACAGGTACCACCGTGGTTGTAGAAGCGTCAGTGGTGCCAGCAACTTCCGTAGTAGCAGTGCCATTCGTGCCAGCAACTTCCGTGGTAGCAGTGTCATTACTGCCAGCTACTTCCGTGGTACCAGCGCCAGTAGTGCCAGCAGCTTCAGTGGTACCAGCGTCGGTGGTGCCAGCAGTTTCAGTGGTACCAGTATCAATGGTGCCAATAGCTTCTGTTGTACCAACGTCAGTGGTGCCAGCAACTTCCGTGGTACCAGCGTCAGTGGTTCCAGCAACTTCCGTGGTACCAGCGTCAGTGGTGCTAGCAGCTTCCGTGGTAATTCCAGCGCCAGTGGTACCAGCAACTTCTGTGGTGGTATCATTATTCGCTGTTTCATCAGCAGATGTGCAATAAACTGAAATTAATATCAACTGGCATCATTTGGACATTTTATATGTACGTATACTATATATTTATTAAACATATATAAAACAATACAATATACAATATTAATTTTTAAAAAAACGGCCCGGCCGGTGTCGGCCTATATATAATATAGTATATATCAGGTGTCCCAAAAAGGACTAATTCAAAAATGCATGTCAAAAATCCAATATCAGAGCTTGCACAATGAGACTTTCATAGCGTTTTTGCTTGCTATCAGGTGATAAATGGTCAATCTGTTCTAGTCTCAAAAACAGCTTATCTGTGGGTCTAAGCGTGCACGCGGGTATTTATTTATTCTTCTTTTTTTTAAATACACTCTGTCCAAACTTTCAGTATTGAGGGATAAACAATGCCATTGGGTGATTAGCGATACGGCTATACCACTGAAAATTGTTTCAAGGTGAAAGGATTGGGTGGAAGATCAATCGTAAAGGAATTAGTAAATTTAAAAGAAATCGTAAAAGGCCGGGGTTAAGATTCATTTTTTCTGTAAGTAGACGTATGAACAAAAATGCACTACATTCAACATGCATTAAAGGACAGTATAATTATGTAATATGAAGCAATATTGATGGAAGAATGCACAAGAGAATTTCTGCTTGAAAAAACTGCTTCTTTCAGACTAAACTAAGTGGCGATAGCCTATAGGATTTTTTGACATGCAATTTTGAAATTATCAGTTCTCACCTAAATGTAACCGATTTCAATCATATGTGTACACCTTGTTAATAATACCCTAAGACTACTTTATAGAAATTTTCAATAAATTTGAGCAAGTTATTACTGAGCTTTTCACTTGAAAAGAGTGCAAGTATGTGCCTTGAAAAGTCTGGTGAGAAGATTTGTTTTGTAAAATGTATAAATAGCGAGAAAATTCAGTGGAAAAAAATTCTGACAATTTTTTGAATTTTTTCACTGAATTTTCTTTTTTTTTTATACATTTCTATGAACATTGAAACAGGTTTTTGATTCAAGAAATTTTTGTTTTATGGCATTTGTGGACACATTCTTTAGGAAAATAATATACAAGGCATGACATTAATCGGGACTTCCCTTCTATTCAAATGAAAACAGTTTTCATTTTCATTTTACACGCGGTACTAACTCACCGGGGCGTATCGAAACCAAAACGCCCCGCAAAACCGTTAATTTGAATTTCAAACCTACCCATTCTTTGGAAAATCAATGATTGTGAGTGTGGTATCATAGTAGACTGTTTTTCTTCAAACTAGTTTCATTTAAATCTTCACAGAAATACCTTTCAGTCGAAACATTGCTTTTGTGTGCAGAGTCACTCATTTTAGAGGCGTTTAGGCCCCCAGATGTGAGAAGATGCAAATCTTCAGAGATTTTAACCAAAAGCCTCGATATATCACCAGTTCCTTTATTATTCTCCCCTGTATTTTGCACAAGGACTCCCATTACAACCCTCCACCTCTGCGTTTTGGAAGACAACGGGGCGTTTTGGTCAATTTCGAACAGTTGCGTAGGACTTTTTTTAAATTGCTGCGTTTAATGTAATAAATATGTTGATGCAGCGATGGAGGGTTGTAATGGGAGTCCTTGTGCAAAATATAGGGGAGAATAATAAAAGAACTTGCGATATATCGAGGCTTTTGGTTGAAATCTCTGAAGATTTGCATCTTCTCACATCTTGGGACCAAAACGCCGCTAAAACGAGGGACTTTGTAAGAAAAGGCAATGTCTCGACTGAAAGGTATTTCTGTGAAGGTTTTAATGGAACAAGTTTGAAGAAAAATGGTGTAGTTTGAGACTCACAATTATCGATTTTTCAAAGACAGGGTAGATTTGAAATTCAAATTAACGGTTTTGCGGGGCGTTTTGGTTTCGATACGCCCCGGAGAGTTAGTACAGTGTGATTTTAGTGACCATGGATGCAGTATGCATTTGAAACGACTAAAATCAATAAAAAAATAAAATAAAAATGATCTGGAAACAAGAGTTTCTAAATTACCATAAAGTGTTACAACACATTGGAAAGAAGCAAATCATATTCAACTAACACACAAAAACATAAGGACTAGTGTCCAAGTCGTGTATTTTAAAAATCTGTACACACACCATCATACGGAATTTTAGAGCTGTTCAGACACCATCATTTTTCGAAACGAAAAGCAGTGATATCTCAAAAATATGCGTTCTCTGCTTGTGACTTTAGGTTCGTTTGAAAGACTGAGATAGTATGCATTAGTGGAGCGACATAATGCTGTTAACAAAGTATAAATATGAAAAATAATATTTTTCTGGCTTAATCGAAAAGAACTTACAACCTGTTCAGACACCATCTATTGCGAAGGTCACGTGATGACTATCCCCATCGTGATGTAGGAAGAAGGTTGACATGATTACAGGAATGAAATAATGCTTCTGTACACAGGGATGTACCTGATATGCAATGTTAATATTTTCCTCCAATCTTATTATTTATAATTTAATATTAATTACTCAGATGCGAGTTGGTAGTTACCAGTTTCGCCACTAGGTGGCCGATTCGAGGGAAATAACATGGCGGGGTATTAAAAAATTCCCTTAAACTTGAATATTCATCAATTTTAGTGGTTCACTTTTCATATTACCTTTATGTATGTGATACTTATACCAAATAAAAATATGTCTAGTAAAAGAAAATATTATCTGCCCAGCACAAGAAAAGATATTTCCATTTTTGTGATTTTACAACATGGGGGCTATGAGGAATCTCCCCGACCTAGAAGTCACATTTTAAAAGAAAATTAAATTTTCAAAGTTGATAAACTCTTTTTAAAACCATATTTCTAGATGTAATTTTACATGTAGATTCCAAATATGACATCAGTTTGACTTAATTTTGAATTTTTAATGACGTAAATCAAGATTATTTCTACTCGCATCTAGGCTATTGTAGGGAGTCAATGGGTCTAAACTGAGCATAAACTTTCATGTTTATCCTGATTATATTTTTTATCAACGGTTATTCTTCAGTAAGAACCCATCACTTTTAAAATTAAATAGAAATAATATTCAGATTAGCTCTCTTTTAATATTGATGCAGAACAATAATCCTAATAAAATTTATGGATATTTTCTAGACACAAACACGTATATGTATCGAATAGTTATGCAAATTAAAGTATGTCCAGTAAAAGAAAATGTTATATGTCCAATTCAAGAAAAAGATATTTCACTTTTTGTGATTTTGTAATATGGGGAATCAACCCGAACTAGAAGTCACATTTTCAAAAAATATTAAATTTTTAAAGTTGATAAACAATTTTCGAAACCATTTTTTTAGATGTATTTTTACATGTAGATTTCAAATATGACATCACTTTGACTGAATTTTGAATATTTAAAGGCCCCATATAAAGTTTAAACCACTTTGGCTTATATTGTAGTCTTACCCAATGTTATCAAAGTGTGATATGTGAAACTTTTTTTTTAAATTTCAAAAAGTGGTTTTTGATAGACTTTTTGTTCCAAAATTTGTGAATTTATTTAAAACCAACTTTTAGAGGTCACTCATATCTTCTAATTAGCCACAATTCATACCAATGCATAGCATTCATCCTCCCGTGTTTTTTGCCGAAAAAATTAAGAAAATCGGTTCATAAATAAGCGAGAAATGAACTTATCAGTGCATGAAAATGGTTCTGAGAAAAATGCATTTCAAAATTTTACCTTACATCACTAAATGTTTCAAAATATTTTTGATATGCTAAAACATTGAAGTGGCCCATTAAATATGTCATTTTATTATTGAAATAGTGTGTCCTTTGTTCAACCTTTGCATTGGTGTTAAAAAGATAATCTTTTTTGAAATGCATTAAGAAATATTTGATGATTAAGAAATCTCAACTTTTTTTGGAAAATGGCGGGAAATTTGAATATTTGAGAAATGAAATGCTCACAACATTTTTTTCAAAAAAAACTTTTTGTTCAAAAATCACTTTTTAAGTCTTGACAAATAGTAAATGAATGATAAAAAAATATTTTCAAACTTTAGACGGGGACTTTAATGACGTAAATCAAGATCATTTCTACTCGCATCTAGTCTATTTAGCACGTCATTTTCCTCTTAATCTTGGGCACATTTTTGGCTCTGTAGCACAATTTAAATTATTGTGATAAGACCGGTTTTCCTATGGCGAGGCTCATATATATAATACCGCACATGCCAATTTCAACAAGATATTTGATCTCTCATTACGCCCGGTGTAAAAGAAATTACGGCCCCCCAGGGATTATGGTCCCCTTCTTAACGGTCCTTACTGGCCCCGATTGTGTATACTGTAATAAAGGAAAGAGGTCATCATATAAATCAATGGAGAGTAGGACCATACTGTGATAGGACCTCCTACCCTTTTACACTGGTATTCGAAAACATTGAACGGATTATTGTGGCATTTTGAAATACTTACAACCATCCCATCCAAGACCTTCATCACATGAACATGAATATGCCCCATTAGTATTAGTACAGGTAGATCCTTCATCACATAAATCGGTCCCCAAAGCGCATTCATCTATGTCAACACAACTTGCTGAAATATATATATTCATAATAATGAATGAATCTAAACTCATGTACACTGTATTATGTAATCTCTACTTTATTTATACTAGTAGTGATATCAATTGGCCAAGTTTGAAATACTTACAGCCACCCCATTCAAGACCCTCATCACATGAACATGTATATGCCCCATTAGTATTAGTACAGGTAGATCCTACATCACATGAATCGGTCCCCAAAGCGCATTCATCTATGTCAACACAACTTGCTGAAATATATATATTTATAATAATGAGTGAATCTAAAATCATGTACACTGTATTATGTAGTCTCTACTTTATTTATGCTAGTAGTGATATCCATTCGCCAAGTTTGAAATACTTACAGCCACCCCATTCAAGACCTTCATCACATGAACATGTATATGCCCCATTAGTATTAGTACAGGTAGATCCTACATCACATGAATCGGTCCCCAAAGCGCATTCATCTATGTCAACACAACTTGCTGAAATATATATATTCATAATAATGAATAAATCTAAACTCATGTACACTGTATTATGTAATCTCTACTTTATTTATACTAGTAGTGATATCAATTGGCCAAGTTTGAAATACTTACAGCCACCCCATTCAAGACCCTCATCACATGAACATGTATATGCCCCATTAGTATTAGTACAGGTAGATCCTACATCACATGAATCGGTCCCCAAAGCGCATTCATCTATGTCAACACAACTTGCTGAAATATATATATTCATAATAATGAATAAATCTAAACTCATGTACACTGTATTATGTAATCTCTACTTTATTTATACTAGTAGTGATATCAATTGGCCAAGTTTGAAATACTTACAGCCATCCCATTCAAGACCCTCATCACATGAACATGTATATGCCCCATTAGTATTAGTACAGGTAGATCCTACATCACATGAATCGGTCCCCAAAGCGCATTCATCAATGTCAACACAACTTGCTGAAATATATATATTTATAATAATGAGTGAATCTAAACTCATGTTCACTGTATTATGTAATCTCTACTTTATTTATATTAGTAGTGATATCAATTGGCCAAGTTTGAAATACTTACAGCCACCCCATTCAAGACCTTCATCACATGAACATGTATATGCCCCATTAGTATTAGTACAGGTAGATCCTACATCACATGAATCGGTCCCCAAAGCGCATTCATCTATGTCAACACAACTTGCTGAAATATATATATTTATAATAATGAGTGAATCTAAACTCATGTACACTTATTATGTAATCTCTACTTTATTTATACTAGTAGTGATATCAATTGGCCAAGTTTGAAATACTTACAGCCACCCCATTCAAGACCCTCATCACATGAACATGTATATGCCCCATTAGTATTAGTACAGGTAGATCCTACATCACATAAATCGGTCCCCAAAGCGCATTCATCTATGTCAACACAACTTGCTGAAATATATATATTCATAATAATGAATGAATCTAAACTCATGTACACTGTATTATGTAATCTCTACTTTATTTATACTAGTAGTGATATCAATTGGCCAAGTTTGAAATACTTACAGCCACCCCATTCAAGACCCTCATCACATGAACATGTATATGCCCCATTAGTATTAGTACAGGTAGATCCTACATCACATAAATCGGTCCCCAAAGCGCATTCATCTATGTCAACACAACTTGCTGAAATCAAAAGAATCATGTAAAATAATCATGACATGTACATGAGAAATGTAATACCTCATTCACATGGCAAAATGGTCGTGCCAATCCAGCACTATTTTATGACCCCTGCACCTTAATGAAAGGGAAACGCCAATAATAGCATCTCACATGAAAACATTATATTACTGAACATCCCAAGAGTCAACAAGGACAGCTATCAAAGAAATAGTGCCGTCACCATCTACGAAGCCTCCAAACCATTATCATCAACTTAACCTTCCGAATGCCAACCATAAAAATCAATACAGCCATGATTCAATCAACCCAACCCAGCTACTGTCAAGCAGTTTGACCCATGGTCAACAAGCCAGGCACTTCAGAGAGTTCTAATGCCTGTATCCCTCCATAGACAATACTAGTAACTGTTTCTATATTTTAATCATGGTATGTTAAATATCATGGCATACAAGACACATATTACAGTATTGACTGTACGCATCTTAATCTTCAAAAACAAAACATATTCAGTGAAAGGTGCTGCAATATTGCCATTTAAGCTTTTTGTGTGTACAATACTCTGTACTGTGTATACCCTTTCATTATCTTATTTAGTATTGTCATAGCATTTATTTAGGCCTAAGTAGTTTAGTCGAATTAGAACTCAAGTGCACATTTTTTTATTATATAGGGTATAACTCATTTTGTCAGACTACATTAAACTAGTTAGTTTTTACTATCTTTATTATCTCGGGTAGTCATTTACGAACCGTTTTGGTAACCAGCGTAATCGAGCGGATCACTTCTGGGGGATCACTAGTGATGATGCCAAGACCTTCCAGGAATATGGTGACAAGATATTCAACAAATACATCCAAGTTCAACTCAACAATGTCATCCAAGCAGATACAAGGATGAAAGTCACCAAGCCATTATGATCCGATGAACAAATATGGATTGCATTTGACAAGGGGGGACACTTCAAGAACTTGGCAGCACATGAAATGACGAATTCCATTGGCACGTCTATGTCTGCCATTATTCCACTCACTGACAGGTTGTGATACCACATCCGGGTTCCATGGCCGGAGCAAAATCACATCAAAATTGGGACAGATGGAACTAATTTCCACAACTGATGAATGTACTCCTCAGTCTAATAGATGGTTCTTCTAAACTGCCAGATTTCTTACCTGTTTTAGAGCTCTTTGTTGTGTTACTGTATGATAAATCTAGAAATAACACCTCAATCAACATTGCAATGAAGAATATATTTCTAAAGAAGACCACTTCATTATTGAACAAATTCTTTCAACAGCTGATCATGATGCCTTAATGCAACACTGCTAAAGAGCATTGTACCAAGGTGTTCATATCTGGGGTCAATTGAACAAACCAAGTCCTATCATTCCCCGGGTATGATTCCCAGGCCTGTCAACTTGGGAACACCTAACATGAGTGACTTGGAAATGTTGAACACCTTCCCTCTAAATGTGGACACCTTGGTCCAAATCTGAACACCTTGATCCAAATTTTGAACACCTTGGTTTAAATTTTATTACATCTTTTCAAATTTTGAACACCTCAAATTTTTCAAACGGAATGCGTGACATATAAGTGATTCGCGTGGAAAGTCCGAACGAAATGCGTACGTTTTTTTTCGGCGTTCGTATTTTTGCTGTGTAGACGAACTTTTTTAGAAATTTTTCTACAGAAATATTTTTGCTTGACAATTACCAGGTAAAATGCGTATTTGCGTGACATTTTCTGTCACGCAAAAATAACTGGCGTGACTTCAAATTCTTCAGCAAATGCGTGACAAATACGCAAATTGCGGGACAGTTGACAGGCCTGGATTCCATTCCCAAAGAATTGAGGCTGGAAAACAGAGCCAGGACACAACACTTGAAAGCCAAAATGGATTAAAACAGATGGCTGATGATAGTCAAGCATTGGTAAAGTGTGATTGGAAAAAGCAGTGTTCCCCATCAACCCGGGCCCATCAAGATGTACCAGCTTGAAGGCTGCTCTAGTATGCACATCAGAATATGCCTGTAATGGAGACTGTTCACTAGAATAACTGAAGTAAGGGCTCAAATGTGACAATAATATATAAACTGCAAGAAACCCCTATGCCCCCATCCAAATTTAATGGTTGACATCTTTTAGAGTTAGTATACTAAATAATACTAGTCTTTTATTATGCATGGCACATGATACAGATCAAATCTACTTCAAACTTACTTACAGACTTACTTCAATATGTTGTACGACACAGTTTTGATATTGAACAATTTCACCAAAAGGTGTCGCTATGTAAGCCTTTCTTTAATATTTGCCTATCTAAATATTGTTTGGAAAGGAATCTTCAGTTTATACTAAAACACACAAAACATTTAAAGTGTGCGCCAAAGTTTAATACTGCGCAGGCGCAGCGTTCTCGCTAAACTATATAAAGAGATCACCGGGTACACGATTCAGAGGTAAGCAAGGAAGGCGATCAACCTTCGTCTCGTGATGATTTACCGTATAATCGTAACCAGGGAAGTTTCACCTTTGAAATTAAAAATTACTATTAGATGTACTTTGTAGATGTTATTTATGAAGCTATTTAGTGTATGTATCAATCAAATGGCTCATTTTGAACATATAAAAAGTATTTGTCTTTTGTTTCCCCGGGAATCGTATTCCCACACATAAATAGTGTACATTATGTAGTACATATTGAATAGCCTGGTATAGTAACACCGTGTTTATATAATATTGAAGGGCATGCTGATTGTACACACGAGTACATGCATGCTAGAAGGCCTAATTTTATATAGCTTGCATACCTAAATAAAAAATAAACCCTTCTAATCCCCTTATGTAAATACGGCGGTATACGTAGCCCGATTTATCGGAATCTTTAAGGCACACATTTTATAGATTTAATGATAATTTTGACGAAATTTTAACAATGAGTGGTAATAAACAACCAAAATCTTCTTTCCGATAATTTAGATATATTTAGAAATATTATCAATTGATATTGGAAAATTCTAATTAACCAAAAAAGGAATGAAAAAATCAAATGAATATTATATAACTGTCGACAATTTTGGCGGCCATCTTGGATGGTCACCAAGAATAAGTGCGATTCTTTCTGGCAATGCGGATCAAAATTTTTAGACAGTCCATATTAGTCTATGTGCCGAAAATCTAAGAATATTTACGATCGTGAACTATTGGACCCATTGTTGACTAGGCTAATATTGTAGTGATGTTATTAGAAGATCGAGGACGATCTTATCTTTCAATGGTGGGGTTAGTGTAGCGGATTGAGGTCCTAGTATGTTCAATTTTTTCATTTGAATCTATTCAGTCTGTAACTTATAATACTTACATCCATCCCCTTCATAACCACCATCACATGAACACGTATATGACCCCTCGGTATCTGTACAGATCGATCCTTCATCATCACATAAATCGGCCCCAATTAAGCATTCATCGATATTAGTACAATTAACTGAAATAAAAAGATAATTTTTGTAAAACTAAGTTCATTGTAACCCTAAAATATGTAGTATCTTTATTGCTTGTCTGGATAAAAATTAATTTAACGGAATTATTTAATGGTTGCCGTCGAAACCACAGATCAAGGATCCGGGTAAATAAAAAAGCTTCAATTTTTTAAATATTAAGATTATTCAATCTCCGGCTAGGCTAAAAATTCTTGTTCACCATAGATGCTATCTAAAAATTTACACTAACATCTTTTTTTTTATTTGAGGAAGTCGTCTAAAAGCTCTCACTATATTGCCAAAGGAGCACGTAGGTTATCGCAAACAATTTCACAAGGTTATGTCTTGGATTATGACTATTTTCTGACAATGTTTATCTTTGAGATCAATTCATCATCTCAAAGAAAATTATATACAGTAATAATAAATTCAAACAAACTCGGAGATATTTAACTAGTAATCAACCCATCAACACACCTTTTCAAAGATGTTGACCATATTTTCACCAAATTGCAATCATTTTTACAATGTTTAATGCAATTACTATTCTTAATTCTGATGTATCAAATAGTTCTCGAAAGAAAAACTTAATTGCTTTAAGATAAGAGTTCCCAATGTTATTTTTCGTTAAAAAATCTCATGCTATCCATTGGTTTCAGTTCATTTTGGTCATCCAAATTCAGTATCTTTAAAATCCCTGAAGCATTCAACTTTTCCTTTTAAGAAATCGAACATGTCTCAAAGAACATTCTAATTATGAATTCAACAATATAATAATAATAGGTTGCATTTTTGGTGAAAATTAGGTCAACATTTTTGAAAAAGTATATTGATTGGTCCATTGACCCGTCAATATCACTTAGGTCTGATTAACTAAATTATCATTATATATATACTTTTCTTGAAGATAATGAATGAATCTAAAAGATACACCCATGTTCATGATTAGAAAATATTCATAATTCAAGTTAGAATCGTTTGAAATTGTTTGCGATAATCTACGTTCTCCTTTAGATTGCATTAAAACCATGTCTTTATGGGTGTACTACTCTCCCCATCATTCAATTTGGAACCAGATATAGTGAATCATCGTCACAGAATGGGTATAGATGATTCGGGGATTGTAATTTCAGAACATCTATTAACACCATGAGTGCACGATGCATCAAATACAAATTGAATAATATTTTAGATCTTTAAAGTTTGGACCATTCAAAGAGAGTATCACGATCCACTACGTTGGCATGTGCGTACGAGGTACGAGATGTTTTATTATATACAAGGAAAAGTGGTTCAGAGAAAAAAATCATTTTAAAATTCTAGTTCTCATTTAATGAAATGGTACTTATATTTGCTGCAAAATATTTTCAATCTAAATAGGCCAATGCAATAACATTGCTCTACTTTTAAGGCAAATAAAAAACAATTTCAGGAGAAAAAATTAAAATCATAGATTGAATGGCTGAAACAATATGAATTTTGCCTGATCTATTCACCACAGTGTTAAGTGTTACATTTGGTGTTATTAAAATCAAATAGTTCAGAAGACAACAGAATCGTCGATTTAATTCCTCACTTAAGTTACATAAACGGAATTATCTTTGAGCTATTTTTCGCAAACATGTACATTTTCTAAAACATATGATACTGATACACGTTTGTGAGAAAAAAGTCGTCGAGATTCTGCCTACAACGCGTGAAATAAGGAAACAAAGAAAAATCGTACCTTCGACGTTCCGACATTTTGTTACCATTTCGGTAACCAGTGTAATAGAGCAGATCACCAGTGTTATTTACATTTATCTATTTGAATGTATCCAGTCTGTAAATTCATAATACTTACGGCCATCCCATTCATAGCCTTCGTCACAAGAACATGTGTATGCCCCATTAGTATTAGTACAGTTAGATCCTTCATCACATAAATCGGTCCCCAAAGCGCATTCATCTATGTCAGTACAATTTGCTGAAATCAAAAGAATCATGTAAAATAATCATAGCATGTACATGCGTATTGCATATGCCCCATCGGTATCAGTACAGGTCGATCTGTCATCACATAAATTGTCTCCAATTGAGCATCCATCTATATTAGTACAACTACATGTAGCTGAAGTCAAAAGAAACATTATTTTCGTAAAACTCAGTAACCCTAAAATACATTGTATCTTATTTGCTTGTCTGAATGAAAAATAAATTTCACTGAAATAATAAATGGTTGCCATAGTAACCAAAGATATAGGACCCGAGATACATGCTGGAGTTACACCATGCGTTTAAGAAAGGCGCCTAAGGTTTTAACCCGGTTTGAAAAATGGGCGTAATCACAATTGCGGTTTTACAAAAGCGCTTTTCCAAAACTCCTAGAACCCTAGTCACTAAAAACCCTTAAATCGTTAGGCGCTAAGGAGTGTAGTGTTATACCGATCGGTTTTTGTAAAACGCCTTACCTGGGTTTTTACCATCGTACTTCGAATGCTACACATCTGGGCCACCGCAGAAATACAGGAAATTATGGATGGGACCCCAAGAATGAAATGGGTCATCAAATTATATCGCAAAAAATTTAAAGTAAGTTTACACCACTCGCAAAAGTCTCGGTTACGTTTTCTCTTAGATGCTAAATTAATACATTTATTGCAGATGTACACATCTGCTGGATATTCTCCATATCTACATCGTTAATAGTTTACGAAAGGCGTTTTAGAAATGAGAGGTCTAATTCCAAAATAAAATTTCTAAGGCGCTTGAGAAATGTTGGTGTAATCAGGATGGCGATTTTGTAAAGCGCTTTCCACTTGAGGGCTTTTAGCGTTTTTTCTGGTGTAATTCCAGCAACTGACCGACTGAGTCTCAGCCAGTTTAACTATGTTACGATCTGTTTTCATGTATAATGGGTTAGAATAGGGGTCTTAAACAGGAGGTTTTAGCTTAAAGTGTGCGCCAAAGTTTAATACTGCGCAAGCGCAGCGTTCTCGCTAAACTATATAAAGAGATTACAAGGTACACGATTCAGAGGTAAGCCAGGAAGGCGAACAATCTTCGTCTCATGAAGATTTCCCGTATAATCGTAACCAGGGAAGTTTCACCATTGAAATTGAAAATGACTATTAGATATACTTTGTAAATGTTATTTATGAAGCTATTTAGTGTATGTATCAATCAAATGGCTCATTTTGGACAAGTATAGCTCTCTATCGCTAGGATCAACAGCTTAAGAATCCTGACTTCAAAGAAAATTTCAGGGAATTCAGCTGACTCATGTTGCACATTATATACCTGAAAATGTATCCTACATCGCCATCTTTCATTCAGCTCAACTATAGAACGTCTCACTGCCCTATGTATCGATCAGGACTTCATTTTATTGGTCGTGTCAAAAGTTTTGGCCAGGTATATTCAATATGGCGGCTTGACGTTTCCCAAGTTGCGCATGCGTCGATAGTATTTCCGTTTAACCGCCATATTGGAAATGGGTATCGAACAAAAAACGATTAGAACTCCTGATCGCCATAGAAGCACACCCGCGATCCTACATGCACGGGGAAAGTAGACACATATGAGCCCATATGTAGGCTACAGTTTGAGACAAACAGCAAGCCGTTGACTGGCGCTGATCAAATTAAGATGTTACAATTCTTCAGCTGGGAGATCCTCACGATGGAGAGCTATACTTTCAAAATCTAACATGGTAGCTCTCGACGTGAGTAAGTACACACATAATTATGTAGTACATATTGAATAGCCTGGTATAGTAACGCCGAGTTTATATAATATGAAGGGCATACTGATTGTACACACAAGTACATGCATGGTAGAAGGCCTAATTTTATATAGCTTGCATACCTAAATAAAAAATAAACCCTTCTAATCCCCTTATGTAAATACGGCGGTATACGTAGCCTGATTTATCGGAATCTTTAATTACCCAAATGCGAGTAGGTAGTTACCAGTTTCACCACCAGGTGGCTGATTCGGGTCAATTAACGTGGCAGGTATATAAGAAAGTTCCCTCAAACTTGAATATTATCAATTTAAGTGGCTCAATTTTCATATAACCCTTATGTGCCTGATACTTATACTAATGAAAATATGTCCAGTAAAGCAAAATATTATCTGTCCACTAAAAGAAAAGATATTTCATTTTTTGTGATTTTATAGCATGGGGTCTATGGGGAATCTCCCCGAGCTAGAAGTCACATTTTCAAAAAAAATCAATTTTTCAAAGTTGATAAACACTTTTTAAAACCACATTTCTAGATGTAATTTTACATGTAGATTTCAAATATGATATTACTTTGACTGAATTTTGAATTTTTAATGACGTAAATCAAGATTATTTCTACTCGCATCTGGGTTATTAAGCGAGGCCTTTCTGAAAACCTTGTTTGTCTCTTTAAAGGTATATTCCTTGCCAAACCACCTCTCTCCTGATATTGTAGCTATATTGTAGCTATGACCATTATTAAATACTTTCCATGTTTAGCAAAACACGGAAAAATGTTTTGATATCGTCAATATTGATCAATTAAAAATGTAGTACTCAATCCCAGTAGGGTGCATAGAAATGATCTGGCCAGGAATGTATTTTTGAGATCTCTGCATCGATCCTATTATCAGTCAGTAATTTTGGATCATTAGCTGTGACATTACATATAATGAAGCATGCCCATGGCATCACATGATTCTCAAAAATCACTTGTAATAATGATATTTTGATGGCGTTATCATAGTGAGTCATTTTGGGTCATTAGCTGTGACATTACATATAATGATGCATGCCCATGGCATCACATAATTCTCAAAAATCACTTGTAATATAATGATATTTTGATGGCGTTATCATAGTGAGTCATTTTGGGTCACTAGCTTTGATATTGCATATAATTAAGCATGCCAATAAACCCAAGACATCATACAATTCACACGGTCGATCACTTGATATTTTGAAATACGTACCTCCATCCCATTCATAACCGGCATAACAAAAGCACACTGACCCTAAAATAGAAAAAAGAATACGTTTTGCTTTGTTGTCTTATAAATAAAACTTTGCTCAATATTTAAATATCTGCGTATTTATATTTACACTTTTACAATTTTTTAAGAATTCTGAATCTGGAGTCGAAAAAGAAAACTGACTTCCGGCTCACTAGTCCATGATATGAATCCGGAATATGAAGAATCCGTAACATAATATAGCGCAGCAACATTTGAACCAATACCTAAGGAGGTCCATACATTAGCCTTGCCCAAGTCGGTATTTTTTACTAATCTGATCTTGTCATAATAGAAATCAAGATAAGTAAAAGAGACCGACTTGGGCAAGGCTATCCATACATGTATGTCTTTATTTTTGAAAATATTGTTTGCTGAAAAAATTTGGGCTTTTGGGTCAAAATATGTCTTTCATCACAATGGGTAAAAAACGTAAACAATTACATAAGAATTTTTACCCATTTTAGACCCAAGACGTTTATCTTTAGAAGCATATTTACAAACTGAAGTATCATTATGCACAAAAATTAGTTATACTTTTAATGTAATTGTCCGTGATTAGTGTAATTATGTGTGCTTTTATATTTTGTTTATGTTTCAAATATTGGTCAAGCAGATTCAACAAAATTGTGCGCATTATTTAAAAAATGATAAAAAATGATACAAGGATTTTACGATTTGAAAATGTTATTTAAAAAATTCACCCCTATTATCGCCAAGGGTCAACTTAAAATAATTCCTTATGTATAACGAAACATAAATAAATGTTTTAGAGGTCTATTTGAATCTTTATTTATTCAGAGGCTATGTCTATTAGCCCATGAGAGGCATATGCAATCAAACGCATTCGCATTCTCTTTCGATGGTACTGCTGCAGACCATCACATTTTCAAATAATTATATCTTTTTTACATTACTGCTGGTTATTATCACATTTTTGGTGAATATTAAAACTAATTTTTCTCAAAGTTTCATAAATTCGGTTGGTTGTTTTATAATCAACTGAGCAGTATCTAACAAGGGGCGAAACAATTTTAAGGTCATTGAAGGTCACAACTCAAATCTATATTCAGATTTGAACTTTGGAGAACTTTTAAATGATTTTGAAAAATGGTCGATTTGAAGCAAGTTGAAAAAATGCCTTGCCCTGTCCTGTCCTGTCCTGTCCTGTCTGACATCTCCTCATAGATCGTTTGACTTTGCATGGGCTTACATATTTGGTCAACATACTAAGTGGGCCGGCGGACATTCTACGTAAGGTCAACATTTAGTAAAATGTCAATATCTAGGTAATTTGCTTTTGAACAACGTTGACTACCTTGAATTTTGATTTTACAGATGATAAGGTTACTGGTATGCGGTGTAGCTTATTATAAACGCATCACCATTTTTTACTTTCTTAAGAACCCTTGGTATACCATGAGGGTTAGGCCCACGCCACCTCTGAAAACGCGGTTGAATTGCTACGTTCACTGATTCATCCCATAAAATGGCCACGATGGAACAGAAAGTTAAGATGGGTGCATGATTTTCTACTACTGTGTATCAATGAAATCATGAAGATTTATATAAGCGTCGCATTCGGTGATGCATTCAGTTATGTATATTTTGAAAGTAGTGTTTGCAAATTGATGCCCGGGAATAACATGAAATAAGCGAAAAACTGTCGAGTTTGAAATTCAAAACTACATAAAATTTAGTATTTTTTTAATTTTCCTCGTTAGAGCATGGTCTACATTGCCTAAAAACCTTGGTGTATATAGATGTAACCTACATACGATCACGCAAAACATTGATGGACAGATACGCAAACCTTGTTCATTTATGATGCCACCGATTCATTTCATATCGCTTGTGATCCAAAATTGAAATGTTGCTAGATATCTTTCAACCGGATTTCTTACCCGTTATTACAATAACATGGAAAGAGGCTATCACAACTATCAACCTTGATTTGACAGGTGTACATGCATGTAACCGTCCACTAAATATCGAATGTACAACTAATACAATACGTTACCGTCCTTAAAAAACATGTAATTCATACGTGGTCGTCTGGCGACCTTGCGATTGAAACCTTATTATTAACAATATACACCACATTCCTACCCTGGATTTTTCATTATATACTTTTATACAAGTTTACTTACAGTTAGTATTAGGAGTGGCTCTGAGGCACATATAGGCTGAGAAAACACGACAATGGACTAACAATTATGAACTTGGGTATCTCAGCCGGTTGTATATGGCAGATTTAATTCAAGCTTTATTACCATCCATATAAGTTATATTTCACCGAATGGAACTAGTTTAAAAGGACATCTTACCTGTGAATCTTGCCTACAGGCACAAAGAGGACATGCTGTCTTTACCATCCGCCATTTTATATTATCGTTTCCGCAAAATTTTGCAAATCGCCTAGACGTAAACGTCGTGGTATACCAGGGTGTAAGGCTCTCGAGGCCGCTATGGTATGTCTGGTATTGCAGCCTCGTTTTGGATAAACATGCATGGCTGGATCGCGTTACCTCTGTCGATCATGGATACTCCCGGGGGGATACTCATGTTTATTTATGCTCATCTGAAGCCCCCTTTTACGTTAATGCAAAGCACACAACTAACAAAAGTGTTTACCTTCTGTACATGATGTTAGCGTGTAATGAGAAAGCGTCCACGCGTTGTCGTTGCCAGCTACATACAGAGGAGTCTGTATAGATTCCGGATACTTTGGACCTTCGTAAAAATAACCCGTGATAGCGGCGGCTCCTACAGTTTGACTTATATACCACGAATTAAACCCAGGCCAATAATACAGATAATTAGCAACATCTTTATGTTTATACACTGGGCTATCAGCAAAGGTTTCCTGTTGTAACACATATACACCAAAAATGTTAAACGAATTAGGGTGTGCATAAGTGTCATCACCTTCCAAGTACAGCCATTGAACTGAAAAAAAATGAAAATCACAATAAAATTATATTAGATGGAATCGAACAACGCATTCTGTTTTTATACTTGCTGCCAAAATACCCCTTCTGTCCAAAATGAGCACGGTTTTATTTATTTTTTAAACAGAATATTACTGTTAAATATCTGAGACACAAACAAAAGTAGAACCAACGATTTTGAAAATACTAGTACATTAAAGGCATCCGTTGAACCTTCGAAAGCCGTGATTAGACAAAGAATCGAAAGATTTATGTAATATCCAAATTCTCATCTCATCTTTATTTCGATGAGATAGAAATTAACTTTCAAGCCCAGAGAACGGCGAGGGTGCACATTTTACGAAGAAATGAAGTCTGACTTCTATATCATTGTTAACCGATTCACTTAGCTACCCGTACAGGTTCAAGCACATTGAAACAACACTTTTTCATCTATTTCGACAATAAAATACATGGTCCTTTGACTGAATTTTGAATTTCAATGACGTAAATTATTTTTGAAATTTCATATGACAGTCAGTTCTAATTATTTTGGGACGCTACGCATTGGACAATCGGAGACTTTATGTAAACACTTCATGTAAATTGAAGTTCCCTGCATAATTATCGACACATGTTTAAAATTCATGAAAACAAGGTTGAACATGAAACATCGACCTAGTTACTGTCTATTTATAATGGAATCACTAGGCTAATGGAAATATCATTAATGACTTAAATCGTCAACAGATATATGTTGTATTCCAAGAAACTTATCAAATGTTCAATTTTGTTTTCTTATTATAAAGATTGTCACCTGTAGAGAACAACGTTTACAAAATTATTTAAAACGGAGATATTTTCTTACGTAACATTCGTTGGCATGTGTCAGGGAGTAAATAAGAAGAATGTGCTTTTGATATTATATCTTGTTCCCAAAAGGATTTTTTCAGGAGCGGTATATCTTAACGTACTTTTATCATCCCGAACTCAAACATTTCGAATACTTATTTCGCGAATGTTTTGTTGAGAATTGATTCGAGATGTACTGAAAATTAAAACGTTAAAATGTGTATTATCATCTTAATAACCATATCACAAATTATTTTGGAAATAAATATGTACGATCTTTGAGTTTTTTTTATTTTCTAATGTTGACAATTAGTTACTTTACTTAACTGACAAAATGGGGGAGTAAATCCTGAAAATGTCAAAGATATGAAGAAAATAGTGGTAGGGCTTCCAGTTTTTTACCACCCTACCAAAAGATGGATTTTAAAACGAAACATTACATGAATGGTTGACAGAAGAGCTCACCTGTACAGGTATGATCGTCTTGCAAAGTAAATCCATTGTTGCAGCTGCATTCGTATGATTCGCTGTTATTTAAGCAGGTATGCTCACATCCACATTCGCTATCATCTAAATTAAATAAGAACATTAATTTGCTTCAAACAAGTTGAAAAAAAGTATATCCAACTTCAAGGCCAGGATACTAAAATTCTCAAGCATTTTTTAAAAATACAAAGGTAGCAGTAAAAGGCCCATTTTGTCTTCCATCCAATGGTACCTAGATCATTATGTAACGGTCATGGATAACAGAGCAATCGTGACTTTTATGAAATGTGGTAAAATCAGTACTGTGCCAAGTTAGAATTCAAGTAGGAATGACAAAGTGGATGTTTTTTTGTGTTCAAAACATCATTAATGTTCAAATTCAAACTTGTTTCGTGTTCTTCACACTTTTACATAATCGTCCGTAACTTTTTGTTTGTACCTCCCTCTCAAGAAATTGGATCCGAAGAGCCCTTTGATCAGCAATGAAACTTCTACTTGATGATATGCAGCTTTGAAGTCCCAAGTCCAGTTCAGTATGGAAGGGCTGTCATCTAACTTATTGTAACAGAAAAAAAGAATACTAAGCCAATTACACATCAATTGCCACACGTACATAGGAAGGTAACTTGGCACGGTGCTAATTTTACCACCTCTCATAATGGTCAAGATTGCTCAGTCATACATGAGGCCCTGTAGAACGTCTACTGTGATACTTTATGTTGTTATATTCTCCTCCGTATTGCTTTGCGTTTAGTTTATAGAGAACCGTCTCCTAATGCCTGGGTCACATAGCCGCCGGGCGCCGGCCGATGAGTAGTCATCGGCCGATTTCTAAATCGACCGGGCGCCGGTGACTTTTCACCGATGTCTTGATCTAATCGTGAGTATGGTCACATTAGTACAGGCATCGTACGGCGCCCGCAATCAATTGAATCTGAAAGACATCGCACGGGTATCGCAAGGCTATCTGTCGACGGCCGTACGGCACCCGCCAGGACATCGGTCGATCTACAGGCCTCTAGATTTATACAAAATTCTTGTATGACCCGGTATGCCTGTTCCACATGGCGTGAATGCAAGATTTGAAAACGAAATACTTCGATAGAAAGGACTTCCAGGATATTAATGTTTCCATGCAATAAAAATCAGAAAGATCCTCTTTTGAGTAAATAGGTTCAATATTTAGAAAAAAATGCTGACATGGGGTCCCTATTTTTTTAATTTTTCAAATTGTTTGATTGATATTTTTACTATATCATGGGTACTTCAATTGAAAGAAAACATATTGTTTTAATAAAAACACTGTATTTATGCCCAGAAAGTACTCATGGGAAAGATATGACCGTGTAAAATCACTTGCCATACTGCAGGTGGTCTTTTCATCAAAGTGAACCCTGACCTTAATTCATTTTTAGATCTTTCATATAAACAAATACTATGTCTACCTGTCCATCCGATGCTATTAGCAAAATTCCATATTTCTGCATCTTTCTTTTGACTGTTCTCGTAAAGAGAATTTGTTTGGTCATAAAAGATATGGCCTATCTTCAAAGAAATTGGCGATTTTTCTTCCATTTCAAGTGGAGTACCCTCTTCCCTAGACACACCTAAATCTTCATCATCCACCAGCTCACTAGTATTGTTATTGTCTTTTTCCACCTGTCTTCCCAAGGCCTTCCTGATATATGGCCCATTGGCCTTATCCCGTCTATCCTAAAGCCTTTGGCATATTAACTGTAATTGAGACAGTGAACTTTCGTATTAAAATTGTGACCCTTGAAAATACTGTACTCACAAAAACATTCAGAAGATTTTTAGAATAAATGATTTGTAATGGTATATACATGAGTGAATATACGCATAGATATGTATCACTCTATTCATTGTGTATGACAGACAAACACGATTAATGTCAATATAAGAAAGACTATATCAACCCACCCACCCAGCCATTCAAATGTGTGTCATTGTTATTCAGTAAGCCTAATCGTTCCATTTATGTTTTATAAAAAATCTCTGACAGTGTGTAGTAATTATAATTCCTTACCTCATTATTTCTAAAACCTTTATATCACTTTATAAGTAATCATTATTAAGATTTATCAAACAAATCAGCACGCAAAATACCAAGATGACCGTGCGATGCCACCGGGCGCCGTAAGATAATCGTACGATGATCGGACGGGACACGGCCGGGTAGGTACCGATGAGTTTGGTTGAGAAAAAATCGCTAAGACATCGGCAACTTTTATCTCCGCGATAAAACTCTGCCGGCGCCCGTACGATGTCTAAAAATCGGCCGATGAGTGGCGATCATCGCCCGGCGCCCGTACGATGCCCGGGCTCGCCGGCCGATTTTGAACAAAATACTCATCGGCCGGGCGCCGTAGTGAAAATCGGAGCTTATGTGACCAAGGCATTAGTCAAGCTGTAGTTGAAAATGGAACAAGACGTGTAAGGAAGAATAAATACATTTTAATAACGATAAATCAAGATTGCAAGTATTCATACGTACAGCCCAGTGGGAGCGTTTGACAATTCGAAGGTCAGTCGAAGGTCAAACCTTAAATCTAATGCCATATTGGAACTTTTGGACGATATTGTAAAAAAGGTTTGACATCTTGAGGGTCACTCAAGGTCAACCAAAGGTCAAATCTCAAGTCTAAGATCAGGACTCCAGATTTCTCAAAAATATAAATTTTGGTCTGTATGAGCAAGTCAAAAAAGGTTATTTTGACCTTCAATATCTTAAAATCTGGAAAAATAATTCACAAAAGAGCAAAATGGCTAATAGAAGTTGTAGATTACGTCCAACATTTATGAGTAAACACATTTTTAGCCGAAATATTGATCTGTAGTCTCGAATTTTATTAGCTACCTGACTTTGAAACCTTGACGTTGACCTTAAATATGCTACTTTTCCGACCTCAGTAGATCTTTAGTAATTAAGCTTATCTCAATTTGAATTCTAATTATCAATTTGAAAAAGCAACCTTTTTTACCTTTTAAAGGTCACTGAAACTCCAGTTAGAGTCATCTGTGGAATAGTGAATAAGTCAGATAAGTCAAAGGACTGGTATCGATATGGTGAACTGAATTCAACAATGTTTTTCTCTGAAACCAATTATTGAAACAACCTGTAAAAACACGGTCCTTTATGGAATTTTGACTGATTGACAACAATTTAACGCGAACATTATTTATATATAGTTTATACATGGACGTATATCATCGTTTATATAACTGTTTTTGTTAACATTTTTTGTTTTTAATGCAATTTGTTTTTGTTCCTTTTTACCAATTATTGAGAATGAAATAAAATATCTTTCCGAAGCTTGTTGGAACAAAATAGCATATACAACTTTCTTAAACCTCTCAATATTATAGTTATACAAAGGAAATTTTGGTTGATTTAACAAAAAGTATTCAAAAATTAAAACAGCAACCCCCAAAATAGATAAATATTGAGAGACCTTAACACGCTGTTTTTGTCATTTTGTTCCAATGAAGTTCGGATAGATGTTTCATTTCATTCCGAACATATGATACCAATAACAAAAGAAGTGTCTTATGTGTTTTCTAAAACAATATAGAGGAAAGTATATATATGTATTTCAAATTATATTGTTAAAATAATATTGACAAAGTGTAAAAAAATCAGAATTTTTTGATGACTAGTTTAAGAGAAACGTATGTTCAAAAAGTTCACCATGTCGATACCCATCCTTTAAAAAATCAAAAGTCAACAAGGTTGAACAGACTAGAATCTGGAGTCTAAAACTTGCCTATAGATTCCACATGCCAAGGTATTATTACTTACACTAATAGTAGCCGAGACAACACAAGTCCCAAGTCTGTTTACTCCCATTTCCTCACTTTCCTAAAGGAGGAAGGAAAGTAACCCGCAACAGATTTCGGACAGTCATATGTTGGATTTTGGCTATTTTCTGAGGATTTAAACAGGTACATATGTTAGATCAATGCATTACCTCCAGGAAAAGCACTCATAGAAATGATAAAATAATTTCAACTTTGACACAGGGAAGATGCAAACAACCCACCCACATGTTTTTTCTAAAATGTTGTTCTGATTTTCAACCCCTTCCATCCCTGCTTTTTCATCATTTTGTGTAATGCACAACATAGAAATCAACCCAATCAATTGTTGTTGCATCAATATGTGGCGTTTTGACACACAGTAGACTCCTATGAAGGAATAAGTGATTCATTTCTATGAGTGCTTTTCCTGCAGGTAATGCATCGATCTAACATATGCACCTGTTTAAATCCTCAGAAAATAGCCAAAATCCAACATATGACTGTCCGAAATCTGTTGCGATACTAGTACTTTCCCTCCTCCTTTAGGGAATCATTTGATTCTAGTTGGTCTATTATCAAAATTTGTCAATTTGTGAGACAGATGTAATATTTTGACTTATTAGAAATGAGAGTAAATACAGATTTGGGACTTGCGTTGTCTTGGCTACTATTATGAGGATACTTTGGAATACTTACACGAAAACAACTTTGGAATACTTACACGAACAAGTATATGCCCCATCAGTATCAGAGCAGGCAGGTGCTGTTTTACATGAATCGGTCCCAATACTGCATTCATCTATGTTTGTACAATTTGCTAAAATCGAAAAAATCTTTGTTTTATTTCACATACCAAGTCATCAAACAACTTATTGAATCTCCTTGATAAAAATGCACGACTACTCATAATTTCAATACTTGGCAAAAGGAAAACTATCATATTGAGGAATAATATATTATAATATATATTGATATTAGATTTTCTTCATGGCCCGCTCCTCTGGAATAACCTTTATAATAAAATAAAACAAACCGAGACTCTTTTAAAAGATTTTATAAAAACGCTATAGTCGTACTGTCATATGAAACATTTTATATTGTTTTCTCTGCTTTTACCATCGTCGGTTCCCGCGCTCAATCACTACGAGGATAGGTCCGAGGCTTGATGAAGCAAGATGTGCTTTTACGGCATATCGTTTAACTGAGTCTGTGTATCATGTAAATGTGACTTAGTTTCCTTTTATAGTTGGTGTACATGTATACCATGCAAATACGGAGTTTCTTATTGGTTAGAATAGGAGTTCTGAAACAGGAGGTTAAAGCCTAGTCGAGGCCTTTCGGAACATTTTGGTGTAAGATCCATCGGTCGCATTATCAAAGTCAGTTAGTTTGTATCATTACTTGTTACTACATAATGATGAAGCATGCCAATTAACCCTATGACATCATACAATTCTCACGATCGCTTTGTAATCATCATATTTTAAGATACTTACATCCATTATATTCATAACCGGCATCACAAACGCACATAACTCCTAAAATAGAAAAGAGAATAAGTTTTGCTTTGTTTTCTTGGCCCCTCAATTGCACCTTAAGCGATCTATATTTTACAAAAACTTAAGCTTTTTCTTCACATTGTTCCCAATGCACACTAGACCTTTCCAATAAACCTTACCAGTTTTGAAAAGGAACATATTCTGGGTTAGCTGATGACATCACAGTCGGTGAAATTTGTCAAAGCCAAAGTATGATAAACCTACTATCACTGGTATCGTAATAAAAAAACACAGTGTCTATTAATTAGTAAATTTTAATGATTTTATAAATGCACGTAAATATAAATAAAGAGTTGTATTACATTCTAAATTATCTAAAATTTGATTTCAAAAGATGTCTTAAATTAAATAATAGTGACAACTTGATGAATTATCCTTGATCTTAACTGTTTTTGAATACTCTTACAACTTTCTATCCAAAGTATCATGCAAAATGCTGGATTTTCAGAAATGAATGACTTAAATTACTCATCATAAAATTAAATTAGACATTGGGTTGAGTTGACTTGGGGTTGAGTTTTACTGGGGTTGACTTGGCTTGGGGTTGAGTTGACTTGGGGTTGAGTTGGACTGGGTTGAGATGACTTGGGGTTGAAATGACCTGTCACCTGTATACTTTTTAAACGGATGCTTTTTATAGACCAAGACCTTCGATTTTCTTACCAGTGATACATCATTCAATTATCTATCAACTCTGAAGATTTGAAAGCAAAACATGTAATATATTTTGATTTATCTTTATTTCCGTGAAGTAGGTATACCGGGACCGACATGACGTCAAACATTCTGAATCTATTTTAGCTTGTTTAACATGCAATCTAGTTGAATGCAGGCTGAACAAAACCGGGAACAAAACAAACCATTATGGTCATGAATTACCCCATTTTGTTATGCTATAGTTGATTTTGAATATTTTATCATCTTTATGTGGTATTCATGCCACATTCATTCTACAGGGCCATCTACATAGGTTCCATCAAGTGCTACATGTACACAATTCCTCATCCTCTTAACTCAAGATTGTGAGACGAGGCGGAATCCATTCTCTGACATGGTAGCAAGATGCAGTTGCACGGGTTGTTTTATTTCATCAATGTCAATAAACTTGCGTCCCTTCTCTATGGAAATAAGTAGTATAGGAATAAATTAGTCACACGTGGTCAGGTGTGGACAGATCTGGACAATATGGTGCATTGGCCAAGGGCTCAATTTTGAGGTCCAGGGATATTGTTTTCTGAACATTTTGAGATCTGTGGGCAGGTGCATTGTCCATATGAAGTAGGGTGTTCCCTTCAAAACCTCGAGAAAGAATTGCCATGGGCTGCTTTTCTCTGCTTTAACCAACAGATGACTCAGGGCTAAACCAAGCATGACGTGGACAGATGAGGGCATCTTTATGTGCAGGGAAGTGGTGGCAATTTGGAGGGGTATAGGATGTATTCTTGCAAGAGTATGAGTATGAACACCTTACTGCCTATACCACACCTGTCACACCTTCTTCCAATAGCCACTATGCCCCTTGTACTGACTTTTGCAATGTTTGAAACTTGAGACCGAGCTGAATTTTGCCCCACTTTGCAAAATTAATGATTATTCGGCCAGTCATGACTCCCTGTGAATGAATGGTATTCCATTGCAAAGAGGAGTAATTTTTCAGTTGTGATTCAGGGATTAAAGCAACTTTGAGTTTTAGAGTATAATCAGTCAGTTACAACCAGGAAGTTGCTGTTGCCATGCAATCAATGAACAATGAATGAGCATAAATCGAACTATATATCTTGTTTACTGTCACTTCTGCCTTGGTCACATTTGCTCCGATTCATCGGCCGGCGCCCGGCCGATTGAGTATCCTGTTCACAATTTTGTATTCGGTTTTGAAACGAATACTCAATCGTCCGGGCGCCAGCCGATGAATCTGGGCAAATGTGACCCAGGCATAAACGACACGAGCCATCTTATATACTATATATGTTACATTGGGGTTAAGACCGTTAAGATTACGTGTCATCATTTTATAACAATCCAAACAACCATATAGCTAACCAAAATATTTACCTTCTGTGCATGATGTTAGCGTGTAATTGGTAGCCGTCCACTCATCGTCCCATACCATCAGAGGAGTCTGAATAGATTCCGGATAGTTTGGATCTTCGTTAAAATAAGCCATGATAGATGCGCTTCCTAAAGTCTCACTTATATACCACTGATTGAGGGAAGGCAAATAATACAGATAGATAGCAGCAACTATATGTTTATACACTACGCGATCACTAAAGGTTTCCTGTTGTAACTCATATACACCAAAAACGTCATTAAGGTATGCATAAGTGTCATCACCTTCTAAGTACAACCTCTGGACTGAAAAACAATTAATTTCAATTGTAAATAAATATGATGGATGAATGATAATATGAGGTTATATAATGGTTGATTCCGTATATCGTGTTTATACTCAAGTGAGTATCTGATATATTCACGAGTGACTGAAGGGAACGAGTGAATATATCATTTACTCACGAGAGTATAACGATATACAGAATCAACCATTATATGATCTTATTATCCCACCCTAATCTTTAATCAATAAAAGGTTAATCTAAATTCAGCAGTTGCATATCAAGTCGAAGAGTTGTATACGCTGCCCAGGAGTTGTATACGCTATCCAGGAGTTGTATATCGTTCTCAAGAGTTGTATACGATGAGTGTTGGTTTTATATTGCAGTTATACAAAGCTATTATACAATCATTTAAAGCACTTAGGGTGGGATAAGAATATATATACAGGGTGTTCACTGAGTAATGACACTAGTTCTCCCATTTCTACAGTTTTTAACCAACCTTTCTTGATTTTGCACATATTATGTGGCATGTTATAATGAGTGCACATACTAAATTTCATGTCTCGAGACCGAAAATAGTTAATTCTATCAATCATATAAATTTTGATTTGGTAACATGGTACATGTACTTGACACAGCACATATGACGTCACATTTTACATTACTTAGGAATCTCTAATCCTGAGTATATCCCTTCTGCAAACGATGTAATATTTATATTCAGCACTTTTTGTCCCTACCCAGTGTATACAATGTTCACTACAAAGTAATTTTAATCTTCTTCATTGCATTTTTATTGTTGTTTAGCCACCCATTTTTGAGAAAGGGTCGATGGCAAACACTGACAAAACCCGGGTTTCTAAAACCCGTGCTAGAAACACGTACTGAAATAGTCTCGCAACCAGTGCTATTTACTGAACGAAACGACACGAAAACCCCGGGACAGCGTCCTATCAGAGTATTATGGATACGAAACACGTACTAAAATAGTCTCACAACCAGTGCTATTTACTGAACGAAACGACACGAAAACCCCGGGACAGCGTCCTATCAGAGTATTTATGGATAGGACCCCCGTATGACCATGCTATCAGTTTGAATCTATCATTAACAAACTTATGTAACAGGCCCGTAGCCAGGACCCTCTACCATTGCCAAAAATGCTTTCAAAACCATGCAGTTTTCACCATTCTGAGCACTTTTTCAAATGGTTTTGGTCATTTTCGGGCCATTTCAAAAGTGAATCCCTTGGATTTTTTTAAAATCGACCCCCCCCCCCCGTCAAATGCCGGCTACATCCCAGATTTAAACTTAAAACAATAAAATGCTGTATAAAACCCAGGGGATATATCATCCTCCGACTCATTTCTCCTGCATCCCTTGACCCGTACTTAAATAGTCTCGAAACCAGTGCTATTTTAACTTTTGCCGGTAGAGGCGCCATAAACTGAACGAAATGCAAAACACTCTAAACCCGGGATGTAGCATCCTTTGGTATTCATGAATTGGATTAATTGCCCGACCTTTTACCTTTCTGTCAATTTGAATTCATGCCGATAAAGGCTCTCAAAATAGAATAAAATTTGTTCTCGAAATTCAAAGATGAATTGGCTATTGCAATTAGGAGTTGGAGTCCTTATGTGTTCAAGTTTACGTTTTCAAAGGTATTTGGGATTACAGATGTAGATGAGGTTTTAATTAATGTTATAATTTCTGATAATAGCTGGCCTTGAACTTCATTGAAGTATTTGGAGTTGATGCTGTATTCAAGTCTGGATCAAATAAACTAATAAAGAAAGTTTGATGTACTGATTTATTTATTTCTATTGCAAATAACTATTTACACATGCTATTTCAAGGTCAACCCATGTGACTATTCATTTTATCAAGCGATTTATAAAGTTTTATAATTATGCATATACCTGTTGACTCACTTCAATCCTGAACATTAACAAATTTTATCTCCATTTCTGGATGTGGCTAATTCCTATTGTCCCTACTGTGGACTAGTGACAATATATATTTTGCAAAAGCCAAAAATGTATGCATTCAGTATTGAAACATCAAGTACATTGTACATCGATCACAAATAAAGACACATTTACATATATTCCAATAAATTCAAATACTGTAAAACCTGTAAATAGTGAACACCTATTGAGCCACAAAAAGTGTTCACGTTAGGTATTTTCTAACTAGAGGGGATTATATACAGGAGTCGATGTGAAATCTATCTTAAGTGGTGTGCACTAAAACAGGTTTTACTGTAGTATATGAGATATAATAAAAAATGTAATACATATACCTGTAAACCATATTATATCTAATGAGCGCACAATTCCAATGAGTGCAAATGTGACTTTCTTATTGAATTTTGTCTCAATATTAACACATTGATTTTGATTAACAGAACTGATTGATATATTATAGTGAGTGATGATTTTCAACATGTTTAATGCAGATAAAAATAGTAGCTGTAGAGTATGAAAACCTAAGTGATCACAGCTAAAAGCATCATCGTCGATATTTTTCTCAATATCATACCCTTGAGTTGGCAATAACACCACAGAAAATGCACCGATTCAGGTATGTCCACATAAACTAAAATGCCTACATAATGAATACTGCAATTACTGGTTAAATTTGACAAGAAAAAACAATTTCCACAACCCCATGATTAAATGTCAATGAAAGCCCTCAAAAACTAAAGAATACAAAACACCAGAACCGCTGCTTCTTCAATTTTTGAATTTTTAGAAGAAATCCAATGTTTACCAACAACAGACGCCTTGTTATTCTCAGAGGCTCACTGTGCAAGAACCATTAATTGAATATCTTAAAGATCATCCAAATGTAATGAGCTAACCAATCTCCAATTTTTATGTATGATAAATCCTGTATTGAAATAACAGTATTCATATTTATTCGCCAAGTAGAAATCTTATACTCTCCACCATTTTTATTGGGGCACCAAAATTCATCCATTTAAGATTTCCCTTATTAAATGACTATATGTACTTTACAAAGTTATTGCAAATGAATATCTTTACATGAAGTTAACAAGGCATTTCTACAAAAGATTGTTTGCACACATTCAGTGTAACCTTGTAACAAACACCGATTTCCATCTGAATAACACTCTGACAGAGACTATAAAAATGTATTAGCTATCAAGAGTGATATTTTTCACCAAATGTTTTCGTAAGTACTATAAATTCAAATACTTCTGATCAATTTACTTAATAAATTCTACTAACCACTATTTCATCAATATTTCGATAGCTTGCGCACAACCAAAGCAACAAGACAAAAGTATTTTCCTGTATACTACCAGGCCATTGTCCCAATGAACATTAAGATGATTTTGAAAAGGTGTACTTTTTGTAACACATAACAAACATGTAGAGAGCTTCTTCATCTGTAAACACAAAGCTTCAAAATCATCCCTGTCATACAGTTTTGTTATTATACCTCCAACATCAAGCGATAGTTCTTCTGTTATCATGAACTGACAACCCCGAGAGCCTCTTGCTGATGTTCTGACTCATGTTGTTGTAGAATCTGATGGTGTTCTGACTCCTGTTGTTGTAGAATCTGGGAATATTCTGACGCATGTTGTTGTAGAACCTGGGGATGCATTGCTCTGACTCATGTTGTAGAACCTGATGATGTTCTGACTCAGGTTGTTGTAGAACCTGATGATGTTCTGACGCATGTTGTTGTAGAACCTGGGGATGCATTGCTCTGACTCATGTTGTAGAACCTGGGGATGTTCTGACTCATGTTGTAACCTGGGGATGTTCTGACTCATGTTGTTGTAGAACCTGGTGATGGATATTCTGACTCATGTTGTTGTAGAACCTGATGATGTTCTGACTCATGTTGTTGTAGAACCTGATGATGTTTTGACTCCTGTTGTTGTAGACACTGATGATGTTCTGACTCATGTTGTTGTAAAACCTGATGATGTTCTGACTCATGTTGTTGTAGAACCTGATGATGTTGTAGAACCTGATGATGTTTTGACTCCTGTTGTTGTAGAACCTGATGATGTTTTGACTCCTGTTGTTGTAGAACCTGATGATGTTCTGACGCATGTTGTTGTAGAACCTGATGATGTTTTTACTCATGTTGTTGTAGAACCTTGGGATGTTCTGACTCATGTTGTTGTAGAACCTGGTGATGGATGTTCTGAATCAGGTTGTTGTAGAACCTGGGGATGTTCTGACTCATGTTGTTGTAGAACCTGATGATGTTCTGACTCATGTTGTAGCACCTCGGGATGTTCTGAATCATGTTGTTGTAGAACCTGGGGATGTTCTGACTCATGTTGTAGAACCTGGGGATGTTCTGACTCATGTTGTAGAACCTACAATTCACAATTTACAACTAGAAATTGGCAACTCCAAGGCGTAGGGAATCCCAACGAACATATATAAATCATGAACTGTACAGTCACAATGTAATATTTACCATCGCACTCTTCCCTTCAATAAATAGATCATTGTAGTATCATATCTCTAAGTTATGGCCTATTCCAGCCATTTTTAATTTTCTGAGGCAAGAATCAGAAAAACAATGCCATAATTGTGATCTACTCTAAAATGCCTTCAGCTTTAGTATAATATAGCCATACTTCTAAGATGAAGAAAATTGAAAAGGTTTAATGGTGATTATAAATATGATCTTAAACAATGCTGAATGACTTAGTTTTTAACATTTGTTTCGATTAACATTTTTGGCTCACCCTGTGCCTCAATTGTTTCTTATTTCAAGTCATATAAAGAGTTAGTTTAAAAATTGCATAAATTGTTGGACTCTGAGACAT